AAAAACAATAAAATTTTAATAGTAAAATAGAACAATGAGTAGGCCAATTTTAAAACACAAAGAAGCGTAACAACTGTTTAATCATTTTAATATTTAAAATATCAACTTTTAAACATTGGATATTTTCCCTTAAGAATATAAATATTGCAGTTGTTAGGGTTCTATTCCACGCCAGGTCTTTAATTTTTGCTACGGTTAGATTTTCAATGAGGGCAAGAAAGTATTTTTAAACGAATCGTGTTCAGTGTATTGACATTAGAGGAACTGATGCGGCATGGGAACGAATGGATGCGCGAATGAATGTACTGTGTGCTTATATATATGTGTGTGTATTTAAGCGTGTATGTGTGTTTGTGTGTGTGTGCTAAAAAAGAATCACACACATACTTGGACACTTTCTAGCCGCGATATTTATTTCAGGTAAACTAAAGGTAGGCCTACAGTGTGACGAGAATTTCATTTTATTTCACGTTATTTCGGCGACTTTTTTCTTTCTTTCAATGAACACTCCCTTTTATTTTACTTTATTTCGGCGACTTTTTTCTTTCTTTCAATGAACACTCCCTTTTATTTTACTTTATTTCGGCGACTTTTTTCGTTCAATGAACACCCCCTCACTCATGCCAAAGAAAATCTTACACCTACTCTCCTTAAACAAGTGTGACGTCTGTGTTAGGTACACTCCTAACCTTAGCTTAACCGACTAAACCAAGTTCAGTTCTACAGATATCCGCGGTAAGTATTCACACAAGATTGAGGGGGTGGAGGGTGGGGGGGGGGAGATCCACAAAATGGTGAAGATGTTTCTCTAAGCATGGATAATTATATTACACCGTGTAGGGGTGGAAGTGGTTGGAAGGGTGAGTGAATAATTGCTACCCCGAAACTCCCAAGCAGAGTTTCTTCCAGGCATCTCTTAGGGGGGGGGGGCGAAGAAAGTCTACCCACGAACGAAATGGAATTTATATGGAAAATATATACTTTTAACACTGCCCCCCCCCCCCAAAAAAAAATTTCAGGTCCCCCCCCCCCCCGGATAAAAAAGTCTGGAAGAAACACAACCCCCAAGTACGAACTGTTGGGCAGACGATGTTCGTATGCTGGGGACAACAACCCTTCTCTGAGAGAGAGAAATTTGGAACTCTAACAGACGCGTAACCTCTACATCGATAGGTTTACCTACTCTGGTTTCCTTTCGGCAGCTCCTGCAACACTGCTTATGCCAAACTTTATTGTAATGCCTCTTTCTTGGTCTATTAGGTGTGTGGAGAGAGGGGGTCTGAAACATGGGCAACTTCTGGTTCTTCTTATCTTAAAACCCAGGTCTTTGGGCATAGTGCTGACCACATTATCTCCTTGAAAGAGATGAACTCTACTTTATCTGCTCCATGTGTCTTGGGCACTCACGGGAAAAGATTATATATATATATATATATATATATATATATATATATATATATATATATATATATATATATATATATATATATATATAATTGTAAGTATATATAGATGCTCGGAATCCAGAGGGAATATGTCTTTGTGTAGTTTAAAAATACCCCCACTAGGTTTTACGTCATTCTCCACACCCAGGTGCGCGCGCATCCTTGTGTTTTGAGGAAGTTGCTCTAACTTCGGTAATCTCCACACCAAAACGGCGCATGTTGTTGCCTGCCGTGTAAACTATGCTGTGAGTAATCAGACATTCCTTGTTCTGATCCATGTCGTGATGTAGGTGTGGGTGTCACCAGCGGGGGGGGGGGGGGGGGGGATGGAATTGTGGTAATGTTTGCCGTAGTGGTGAAACTACAGGGTGTTAGTTTGTTTGAAGATGTCACGTGTTTGCCTGATTGTTCAATTGTAGCTAAGTAAAATAACAAAAAAAAAAATAAAGAAAAGCGTGGGTCACTTTAGTACTTTAGTACCTATTGGATAACTTTACTAATATTTGAGAAGAGACCAACGCTTTTCTTTATAGTAATTTAAAAAGTAGTGTATAATTTATTTTCTACTTTTTAGTGCATCATTACATAAAAGCTTGTTATTAAAACGTTTTTTATGAATTTGTTTTTCAGAACTTTACATGTTTTATTTACAATAGAGTTACATGACTAAAAACCATTGCGCGTCTATTGAACGTGATGGCGCGCCTACTGAAGGTGATGGCGCAGCGATTGAACGTGATGACGCGTGTGGTGTGGTTGGATAGACATGCCTATTGATTCGGTCCAAATTTTAATTAATTCATAAAAAATTAATTAGGCATCCAATAAAGTCAAATTTAGTTTCAGATTGCGTTGTCTTCATGTCTTGACCCACGTGCCAAATGTGAATCGTATCGGTCAAGTAGAAGTTTCCGAATTTTCACTCCTGCGTTTCGATCTAGACTGACGACAGATAGACTGTCGACAGTATGTCGACAGACTGGCTACAGAGGAAGTGAGTTAAATAAAAGCTTGTAAAAAGACGACTTGTTAGTAAATGTAAGTCCTGGTTGTGTACGTGTCAAGATTCAAGAGAACTCACACTAACAAACCAGAGATCGGCCTCACAAGTTTTGAAGTCCCAAATAATTCAAAGGTATCGATATTTGTGAATCTTGTTCATCGTGATTGATAAATCGTTTTGATTTTGTCGGTGCTTCTAAAATTATTTGTTTTAATTTATTACGCTCATACCATTATGGGTTGTTTTTCGTGTATAACCAATCATTCTACTCAGCGCTATTGAGTACCTGGCGATATTCAGAGTACATTATACAGGAGATAAGGCGTCGTCGTAATTTTAATCACTTCACAATCGCTCACACAGAAACAGTTAAACTCTACTTAACCTACCATGATAACACTCACTGTGTGAGAAAAATTAAAACAATGTCTTTAATGCCTTTAACCCTTGTACAGCGAATACTTCCTATGTCGCTTTTGAACTTTTTAAAAAATGTGTTAAAAGCACATTTCAGCCGAACGTGTGTTATAAAATGGCGACAGGCGAACTTTCTTCAAACGCAGTTTATTTAGAGAGCGCCCTAAAGGAATGAGGCTCGATTTAAATTCCTGCTGGGGAAAAGTTTACCTCGGCATGGACTGTGATGTGTCAAGTCCCTTAACTGACACTCGCTCACACTTCTGTCTAACAGGACCGACAACTCTTCTCAAGGGACGTCATTCGGTTGATAATTTAAAAAAAAAAAAAATAATTTCCATCACCGTGTCAAGTTTTCCCCAACACATCTTTTTAAAATTACAGCCCATGTATCCAAAATTACCATCCCGTCTTGCTACGGCATGTTGTTATTTTAACCTTTAAGAGTGTTCAAACGAGAATTTAAAAAAAAAAAAGAGAGAGACGAGAGAGCCCAGTTTTAGATACGTTTTCTACCTAAGCAGCCTCTATTTACTTTTCTTTATGTCCTCCCCCCCCCCCCGCCATTCCCATCCCTCGGTGCGCACCAATTCTGCTCGCACGGTCCTAAACAAATATGGGCAAAAGTTGCCAGGTTTGACTACAGCCAAACTGGCAGATCAGAAAAAAAGTTCGTCGCGCAGTTTTACCTGGTAAGGTGCAGTAACAAACGTGAGACAAAAAAATTACGAGTAACATCAGTTACGGGATTTCTCGGATTCGTATTAGACAAAGGTTCAAACTGTAGAAAACAAGGACGTAGAAAAGACTGGATATAATACTCAATCAAGGCTTCGACATAGTATTAGGTTTCTTGCCATATTAAATTTTGGATTTACAAATATAAATTCTGGATATTTTGATCTAGGTAAAGTTTATCACCAAGGTGTAATACGTTTTTTAGTGTGATTGTTTTTTTTTAAATTGTGTTAGAGACATAGGTGCTGTTGATTGTGCTATTTTTTATTTTAAAAATTAATTTCTGAATTATTTGAATATGCTTATTTTAATTACTTATAATTATTTTGTTAATTATTTGTGTTCAAAATTTTCATTTAAACACACATTTTTCTGTTTTTACGTATTATAAAATATACGTTAATTAGTAATAGATATCTGTGAAATATGTTGTTTTTATAGATGTAAATTCGTATATTCATTTAATTTTAATTTTACTTCTTAAAAATATTTCCACGCACTGTAAGATTTAAACCAGGTGAAGAAGTTTTCAACGTTATTTTTACAGCATTTACATTTATATTGTGAGAAGGGCTGAATAATGCTTTAAAACACTTTTATTTTACAGTTTATATCTTAAATAAGCTTCACTTATTCGTAAAATAAAAACCCGTTTTTTTTTTTTACATTTGTCACCACTTTGACGTATTTCGGTAACTAGAATGTTCCAATAAGCCACGCCCATTTTGTGAGAATCCATCTTGACATTTCCGGGGCGACGCTGCGAGGACGCTGCATATTGCGGCTTATCTCTCTTTGAGGGTTTTATAGGTGAGAAAAGGGGGGGGGGGGGGAAAGGAGGGAGAAGAGTGGGAATTCGGGAGGGGGTAGAGAAAATGCGATATATTGAAAAATAAATTCCAACGAGTACTGACTGGTTATAAAAGATCATGCAACAGCAACATAATAAATAGTTGTAGGCGTCTAATGAATCGCGGCCCATTTTAATTGCCAGATTGTTTTGGCCCCACTCTTGTTTTTATGATTCCCCAGATGATTGTGGGCCAAAATATTCAATGAAAACAATCCTCAAGCAAACTGGAAGTTAACCTTGTGTATGATAGTGAGAAGATAAGCCACCAGACTCCGACTATACGCATTGTCAGTTTTGGACACGCTAATATACACACCCCTAGACCCGTACACACACAAATAGTTCAGACACTGAAGTGAAAATCCAACTAAATTTTTAACCTTATACAGTAACGTTCACCTACAAATCTATGCTAGAACTACTATAATTAACCACACATGACATAACATCTGTAGTTTCACAAGCCGAGGACGGGAGTTCGAACCGCACCGGGGGTCGAAATCTAAGGGAATGACAATAAACCCAAATATTTTCAATTTTACTGAGAAACTATTGCTAGTCTAGTTGGATTGATAACTAATTATGGTAACTAATTATTTATAATAACATTAAACTCGACGGAGTAACATAAAAACGGTGTACACTTATAATACTGGTACACCTGAAATAGTCATTCGGTTGGGGGGGGGGGGCTGACACCCTTATTTAACGTACGGGGTTACACTCGACCTAGTGACGCCATTGTGTAACGTGTAGGGATGTTGTTGTAGTCTGTCAATGACACATGTGTCGGTGACTCCGTGTCAGGAGAGAAAAAAAATTACAACCATGGTTAGCATTACACAGTTTCCGTTTAAATTAAAAAATAACCAATTGGGTTCTATATAATTCAGGACTAACACATTCTGAAGCTCAAAGCGTAGTTTTACAATTTAATTTCCGGAAATTTCTGTGGGATGATTACTTTCTAGAGGCTTTTACTACTGAAGCAGTAAGTGATGTTTAGCTAATAAAAGACGTTATCTTTTTGTGTCCTATATAGACAGATTTTATCGCGCATAATATAACCATCATCTACCCGAAGGAACAGTCAAGGAACAGACGTCAGGGAACTATTTTAAACTTCTACCAGTGACAAGCTGTTGATAAACTAGTGTTTGGAATATCTTGTAGTAGCACTAAGGTTGGCACTGTCTAAAACATCAACAACAGAAGACTACAGAGAGATTGCTTACAAGAATGTTGCTTCGACTTGGAATAGTTCTACACGTTTTACTAGTCACAGTCTACGGGCAGCCTGAGGAGCTAGGTTAGTATGACGAGAACTTTTGGGTTAGTTTTAACATCATATTGTAATCGTGAGGTAGAGCGCACGATTATCAACCCCAAAGTCTTGAGTTGGGTTCGAATCCTTAGGATGTCACTAGGTCCACCTAGATCTGACATGTGATTAACTTGAGTAGGGGAAACTAAAACAGACTTGGTGTAGATGCTGTTCATATTCTGGTGTCAGAGAAACAGATGAACTCTACTCCCTCTGCCCTATGTACCTTCAGATATGAGAGCGTTACTTTTAAATGGTTCTAACTTAGTGTAAATGCGTGAGGATATTTGTGTGTGTTCGATATTTAACACCATAAAGAACACTTATTCTTGTGGTGTAAGGAGGTAAAAGTGTATACAAATCTGCTGGGTGTTGTGTCAATAGTGGCTCGCACGTTGGCCATTGTTTTGGACCAACAGCGACATCACCACTCACCCTTGTACACGCCTACCATCTTTTTCGAGCTTCCAACATAGGTCTTACTCATACTCTTACAAATCTAATTTTTTTACCATGCCTAATTTGACTTCAGTTTTATTTTACCTTACCCTATTTTGTGTGGTGTATTATTGGCTTTTTAAAATGGATGACGTCATTGTCTCCTTCCATGTCCAGCCGACCCCACCAACCCCTGCTCCCACTCTAGAACCATCAACCTACCCAAAGACGGCAAATGTCTGGTGCCGGTCAGGACGGCGTACGACTGGACCACGGCACAGGCGGCGTGTGAGAGGGCGGGGGGATCGCTCTATCAGGTACGTGACGGGGGGGGGGGGGGGGGGGTGAGTTTAGGGGGGGGGGTCGCTCTATCAGGCACGTCACTGAGGGGAGGGGGTGAGTTTATGGAGCGGGGGCTCGTGACGGGGGTGGGGGGGTAATGAAGGAAGTGGGGGGGGGGGGGTCGCTGTATCCGGTACGTGGTGATATATGACGAGGGGGGGGGGGGCTCGCTCTATCAGGTACGTAGGGGTACGTGACGGGGGGGGGGGGAAGTGGGGGGGGTCGCTATAAGGCAATTGATGATACATGACGGGGTGGGGGAGTTTAGGGGGGGAGTCGCTCTATCAGGTACATGACGGAGGTGAGTTTAGGGGGGGGGGGAGTCGCTCTATTAGTTACACGTTTTTATTTCTAATTTTCGAGGGCAAAACTAAATAATGTGACCAAATATATGGTAGTTTAGTAAATTTGGAACTATATTTTGGTACATGAGAACCATATTCAGGCGAATTGTTTTATACATTTGGACTGATATTCTTGTATCCCTGGACCATTATTAGGCTAAATTTGGACCGATTGTTTTGTAATATCTGATCGTATTTTTGTAATTTAGGACGTAAAATATTTAAAATTGGATTCTTGCATTATTTAAAATATATATCTCTTTGTAATTGGGGCAATATTTGTTTATTGGGACAGATTTTATGATAAAATTTTTATGATAAATTAGAAAAGTTTATTTTTTGCAAACTTGAATGGATATTGAAGATTGTCTTGATACAATAGTGAATATAAAAAACAAATATAAAACACCAAATTTTAAATAAAAACTATTAATTTTGTAGTAACTTATATATATTAAAATGTGAACGAACTATTGGTTATTTAAAACACCAACGCCCTGTGTCTAACATCTCCCTCCCCTCTACTGTTGCAGCACCCAAATGCACGCCTCCAGTCCAGGCCGACCTTGATGAACTGCCTGGCGTCCATGGCAGACACCAAATTTGATGACATGTGGCTCAATGCCGTTGGTATATGGTACCCTCATTTTTTCTGGATCAACAGTAAGTCGTCAGAGATCCTATTATTGTTTACGTAAACTCCGTTACGCTATATAGGGTTATCGTTCCTTGACTTATATAGGGTTATCGTTCCTTGACTATAAGATTTTTTTTTCTGGATCAACAGTAAGTCGTAAGATAGAGAACTATATTATTTTTTTACGTCAATTCCGTTATGCTAGGGTTATCGTTCCTTGAATTGTATAGGGTTATCGTTCCTTGAATTGTATAGGCTTATCGTTCCTTGAATTGTATAGGAGTATCGTTCCTTGACTTGTATAGGGTTATCGTTCCTTGGCATGTATAGGGTTATCGTTCCTTGAATTGTATAGGGTTATCGTTCCTTGACTTGTATAGGGTTATCGTTCCTTGACTATAAGAACCAAACTCTTTTTGTCATTGTTTTTTTAACAAGTTGAGTAAGTCACTGTCTGAATCTATGCCTGTTTATCATTGAATGTGGTTTTAAATTCTAAAACTAACTAAATACACGAAATTTAAATAAAATAAACGGATATTCTGACTGCAGTTTATCAAACATGGAAGAGTATAATATCATTTTTACAACCAACAACAAAAAAATAGGGGACTAAGGCTCTTTCTTGCTAATGGTAGATTCGCGGTTCTATATTGTGTAGCTAAATCTCCATCCTGAATGTCCTGTGTCCCCTGATCGCACGTGACTGACATGTTTACATCTTCTGGTTCCAGTGACCGTGGTCAACGAGGTCAACTACTGCACACGTGAGGTCCCACCACGTGACGACGCTAGCAGCGTGCCCATCACAAGCGACACGCTAAGCGTGGACTACTGCGTGTCGACATGCCATGACAGTGGTGCAAGATTCATCGTCCTACACGTGAGTGCTGACCCAGGGGTCATATGCTGACCCAGGGGTCATATGCTGACCCAGGGGTCATATGCTGACCCAGGGGTCATGTGCTGACCCGGGGGTCATGTGCTGACGCGGGGGTCATGTGCTGACCCGGGGGTCATGTGCTGACCCGGGGGTCATGGGCTGACCCAGGGGTCATGGGCTGACCCAGGGGTCATGGGCTGACCCAGGGGTCATGGGCTGACCCAGGGGTCATATGCTGACCCTGGGGTCATGGGCTGACCCAGGGGTCATATGCTGACCCAGGGGTCATATGTTGACCAAGGGGTCATATGCTGACCCAGGGGTCATTTGCTGACCCAGGGGTCATATGCTGACACAGGGGTCATGTGCTGACCCAGGGGTCATATGCTGACCCAGGGGTCATATGCTGACCCAGGGGTTATATGCTGACCCAGGGGTCATATGCTGACCAAGGGGTCATATGCTGACCCAGGGGTCATTTGCTGACCCAGGGGTCATATGCTGACCCAAGGGTCATATGCTGACCCAGGGGTCATATGCTGACACATATGTACCCGTTTCCTGACCCTGGGGCCGTGTTCTGACCCAGGGGATATGTCCCCATTTCCCTGACCCACAGGAAGAAATTTTAACCAATTTCCAGATTCAGCGAAATAAAGGATCCATATGATAACACAGGGGGTACTGGACCACCGATACGACCCGAGGGATATAGGTCCCGCATTCCGCCCCTATCTTTAACTCCTCTAATACTACGAGTGCCCTAACATTAACCCATCTAATAGAGTGCCCTAACTTTAACCCCTCTAATACCTCGAGTGCCCTAACTTTAACTCCTCTAATACTACGAGTGCCCTAACATTAACCCATCTAATAGAATGCCCTAACTTTAACCCCTCTAATACCACGAGTGCCCTAACTTTAACCCCTCTAATACCTCGAGTGCCCTAACACCTCTAATACCTCGAGTGCCCTATCGTTAACCCATGTATTACCACGTGTGCCCTATCATTAACCCCTCTAATACCACGAATGCCCTAACCCCTGTATTACCACGAGTGCCCTAACTTTAACCCCCATAAGACCGTGTATGTCCTGATGTCCCCAGAATGGCGGCAAGTCCCCCGAGTGCTACTGTAAACACGAGCTGGACAGCAGGTACCAGCTACCCTGCTACACCAACACGTTTCAGTACAAGGACACAGAGAACTACTACATTATACACGCCAAGGAAGGTACGTCTACATACACCCACATCTACATACACATATTTACACATACAGCTACACAGAGAACTACTACATCATACATGCCAAGGAAGGTACGTCTACATACACATTCATACACACATACACACATACACACATACACACATACACACATACACACAAACACACATACACACATACACATACAGCTACACAGAGAACTACTACATCATCCACGCCAAGGAAGGTACGTCTACATACACATTCATACACACATACACACATACACACACATACACACATACACATACAGCTACACAGAGAACTACTACATTATACACGCCAAGGAAGGTACGTCTACATACACACATACACATACAGCTACACAGAGAACTACTACATTATACACGCCAAGGAAGGTACGTCTACATACACATTCATACACACATACAGCTACACAGAGAACTACTACATCATACACGCCAAGGAAGGTACGTCTACATACACACATTCACATACAGCTACACAGAGAACTACTACATCATCCACGCCAAGGAAGGTACGTCTACATGCACATTCATACACACATACACACATACACACATACACATTCATACGCACATACACACATACACGAACAGATCCACAGAGAACTACTTCATCATACACACCAAGGAAGGTACGTCTACATACACATTCATACACACATACACATACAGTTACACAGAGAACTACTACATCATACACGCCAAGGAAGGTACGTCTACATACACACAAACACATACAGCTACACAGAGAACTACTACATCATCCACGCCAAGGAAGGTACGTCTACATGCACATTCATACACACATACACACATACACACATACACACATACACACATACACACATACACACATACACACATACACACATACACACATACACACATACACACATACACACATACACACATACACACATACACACATACACACATACACACATACACACATACACACATACACACATACACACATACACACATACACACATACACACATACACATACAGCTACACCAAGAACTACTACATCATACACGCCAAGGAAGGTACGTCTACATACACACAAACACATACAGCTACACAGAGAACTACTACATCATCCACGCCAAGGAAGGTACGTCTACATGCACATTCATACACACATACACACATACACACATGCACACATACACACATACACACATACACACATACACACATACACACATACACACATACACACATACACACATACACACATACACACATACACACATACACACATACACATACAGCTACACCAAGAACTACTACATCATACACGCCAAGGAAGGTACGTCTACATACACACAAACACATACAGCTACACAGAGAACTACTACATCATACACGCCAAGGAAGGTACGTCTACATGCACATTCATACACACATACACACATACACACATACACACATACACACATACACACATACACACATACACACATACACACATACACACAAACACATACAGCTACACAGAGAACTACTACATCATCCACGCCAAGGAAGGTACGTCTACATGCACATTCATACACACATACACACATACACACATACACACATACACACATACACACATACACACATACACACATACACACATACACACATACACACATACACACAAACACACATACACACATACACACATACACACATACACACATACACACATACACACATACACACATACACACATACACACATACACACATACACACATACACACATACACACATACACATTCATACGCACATACACACATACACGAACAGCTCCACAGAGAACTACTACATCATACACACCAAGGAAGGTACGTCTACATACACATTCATACACACATACACATACAGTTACACAGAGAACTACTACATCATACACGCCAAGGAAGGTACGTCTACATACACATTCATACACACATACACATACAGTTACACAGATAACTACTACATCATAAACACGTCTACATACACCCACGCCCACATACACAGATTCACAAATATACACACACATCATACACTCCAAGGAAGGTCAGTCTACATAACATTCATACACACATAAACACACAGCTACACGAAGAACTACTACATCATACACCAAGGAAGGTACGTCTACATACACAGTTACTCAAATACACACATGGAACAACTTTTCCCAAATAAAATACATGGAACTATTATATCATGTATACACATTCATAAACATTCGCATATTAACACACAAAACACATAGACCTACACTGGAGCGTTTCAGAAATATAATGCATATTACGATTACATTGCTAAACAAGGTAGAAGGTCAAACAGTGAAAACAGAAGCAAAAACTAAATAAATCTTGGGTAATATAATATAGTGAGGGGGGGGGGCATTTATAAAACAACAAACAATGTTGCCTTACCTTACAAGTCGCCATTTGATACAGATAATTTGATATGTAGAATGTTAATGTTTGAATATCTGATACAGATAACTTGATATGTAGAATGTTAATGTGTGAATATCTGATACAGATAACTTGATATGTAGAATGTTAATGTATGAATATCTGATACAGATATCTTGTTTTGTAGAATGTTGCTGTTTTTATATTTGATACAGATAACTTGATATGTAGAATGTTCATGTGTGAATATCTGATACAGATAATTTTATATGTAGAATGTTGATGTTCGTATATCTGACACAGATAACTTTTATATGTTTGTATATCTGATACAGATGACCTAATCAAACTCGCCGCCTCCGAAGCTTTCTCCAAGACGGAGATCCTCTGCGCCACAGTCGACCACGCGACCAAGGACAACCGAGAAATGCGCAGCGACACGTGCTTCACTGCTCACCCTTTCCTCTGCTGTTTAGGTAAACATTTTAGTTTAGTGCACTTGAGGTAAACATTTTAGTTTAGTGTACTTGAGGTAAACATTTTAGTTTAGTGTACTTTCGGTAAACATTTTAGTTTAGTGTACTTTAGGTAAACATTTTAGTTTAGTGTACTTGAGGTAAACATTTTAGTTTAGTGTACTCACCCTTTCCTCTGCTGTTTAGGTAAACATTTTAGTTTATTTTACCTACCATTTCATCTGTTGTTTAGGTAAAAAATATTTTTAGTTTACCCCTCTGTTGTTTAGGTAAACATTTTAGTTTACTTTACCTACCATTTCATCTGTTGTTTAGGTAAACATTTTAGTTTAGTGTACTCACCATATGCAGTCAGAATTTTTTCCTCCCTTGCCTTAGAGTTAAGCAAAGGGAAATAACTCTTTAAAAGAATCCACGTGCATTAAAAAATTAAACAAAATTATAGTTCACAGAGAAAAATGATTGCTAACTATAGTGCATTACATTTAGTTATCATGCATTAAAATTTTCATTAAAAAATAGCATTAAACTTAGTAAAACAAATTTTTTATGCACAGTACAGACGTTTTGTGGCGCATAAGAATGTAAATAGTTAATAATAATATCAATGACAGTCCTTAGTTAACTTGCGCTTGTATCTTAGTACTTTCATATGGATAATTTTCTGTTTTAACTCGATATGATCCCGAGGGGAAAAAAATCTCTTGAATCATCATTGAATTACACATTTGCATTTTCAGGTCAAAAAAAAAAAAAAAAAAAAAAAAAAAAAAAAAAAAAAAAATTAATTACACATTTTCATTTTTAGGTTGGGTTCATTTTTAATTTTTAACTTTTAAAAAAAAATATATTTAGACGTTTTGTATTAGATCTATGTATAAGTAAACCATCTTAAATGAATGAAAGTAGGCTACAAGTATGAAAGAAATATTACTATTGTAAATCTGTATCAGTCCTCACAAGCCGGTGATGAAAACTGTAATACTAAAGCGAACACACACAACTGACGCTGTAAATTACATGTCTGAGGCAAAAAAAAAGATATAATTTCTTACTTTCTCGTATACCAAATGTAAAGTAAATTAAGTAAACTAAGCAGCCAAAAGAGACAAGAGTTGTAGGCCTACACCCCATTTAAGTCTAGTTCTTATGCCATTTTATTTTCTCTATTTAATTATTATATTATTCAATTAATGCTCACGTCTTTGAAACTGTATAAAACTATAAAATAAATTATATTATTACTGTTAAAAAAAAATTAACTCGATATGATGGGGGAAAAAAAACCTCGATAAGATGACATGAAATTACTCAGACTGTTTAAGCTTAGTAAGCACTGTACATTACTCTACACGTTAGCAGCGTTTGCATAAAAGAAATCAAAATTAATTATAATTAAATTTTTTTTTAAAAAGTTTACTATGTACTACATTTGTTAGTTAACTTGATATGATTCATTAGTGTTTAATAGTATATATGTATGACATTCCTAAGTTAACTTGATATAATTCAGTAGTGTTTACTTTGAATGACATTCCTGAGTTAACTTGGTATGATCCATTAATGTATGACATTCCTTAGTTAACTTGGTATGGTCCATTAATTTATAACATTCCTTAGTTAACTTGGTATGGTCCATTAATGTATGACATTCCTTAGTTAACTTGGTATGGTCCATTAATTTATAACATTCCTTAGTTAACTTGGTATGATCCATGAATGTATGACATTCCTTAGTTAACTTGGTATGGTCCATTAATTTATAACATTCCTTAGTTAACTTGGTATGATCCATGAATGTATGCCATCCCAATCTTGACCCCAGGCGAGGCCACTAAATGCACGAGCCTGGAGTGCTCAGGTACCGAGTGCCGTTTCCTGATGAAGGACAAGTGCATGCTGCGTGTCGCCAGCAACTACAACTGGTATGCTGCGCGCGCATACTGTGTGGCCAAGGGCGGTGACCTCTGGAACATGCACGAGCTGAACGAGATGAACCAGGTGACCCAGTTTCTGGACGGGGTGTCCAGGTACTGGATCGGGGCCTCCAACTACGGCTGGACTTTCAATGCCAGTATGTCATTTTCAATTTTTTTTTTTTTTTTTGGTTTGGATTTTTAATGCTAGTAAGTAATTTTTTTAATTAATAGTCTGATTTAACTTTCAAGGGCAGTATTTTAAAAAAAAATTATTAGTCTGTTTTAAGCTTTAATGCCAGAAAGTAATTTTTCTTACTTGTATGTTTGACTTACAGTGCCGTATGTATATATTTATATTGTTGGTATGGACTTTCTATGCGAATATATATTAAAAACTGTCTGGACTTTTAATGTTAGTATGTAAAATTCATATTGATAGTTTGGACTTGCTGCGTAAGAATTAAAAAAAAAACCCGTCTGGAATTTTATTACCAGATTGTAATTTCAAAATTTGGTTGTTTGGTGTACGATTAATAGAATCGAGTTTAACAATAGAAAAAAAAATGCAATTATACGTTCGTTAAAAATGTACCTATAGGCCTACTATATTTATAAGGAAGCTGTTATGTAATAAGGTGGAGGGCTGGAAGATAATCAAACTTTTGTGATAGAAGTGAAGGAGGGGGTGATATTTAAGTTGGTATAATATGATTACACACTGGCAATCAGAAAGATTATATGTGCATGAGATATTTTAAGCAATTTCTTTATGCGAATCAGATAAAACTTTAGCACACAATTACAATAACACATTGACATAACGAAACAATCAAGTTAGCGCAAATATTAGTTGTAATCTGTGTTCGTTTTGTTCATTATAATTCAGGAATCTTGTCAGTTTTTAAATTTTACTTAAATTAATTATCATTTAGATTTAGTTATCGATTCATATGTGTAGCTTCAATAAAACAATTTGAAATAAAAGTACCGAGTACCAGCTACGTCATGTTAATTTCCCCACGTCTTATCTGGTGTGTGAGTTAATGACGTCTTCAGATTCTAAATGCACTAATTGACCCCTCTCGTCCCCAGCCAGTGCTGACCTGTCCAAGACAGGTGGAGACTTCAACCTGGCCAGGTGTGGTCACATGTTCAGAGAGAGGCTCAGCACTACGTCATCAGGCACATGGCAATGGGGGGACACTGTCTGCGACCAGCAGAAGTCTTTCCTCTGTGAATTTCGTAAGTGGGGGCAGGGGCGGGTAGAGCTGGATTAGGGCCACGACCTGAAAATGTACAGTGATTTTTTGGTTGTAAATGTCCCTTAAAATATACAGTGATTCATTGGTTGAAAATGTCCGGTGGTCCCTGCTTGAAAATATACAGTGATTCACTGGCTGAAATGGGTCCCCTGCTTAAAAATTAACTAGCGGTCCCTCTAACTACCATGTTGGGCATTTTATAAAGCCAACAAACACGCTAATAAAAACAGAACAACAATGTGGCAGAGTATTTAGGAAAATATGCCCCTCCGATACCTCCTCTATAAGCTAACCACCCCCCCTAGCCTTCACACATGACCCTAGTTGCCCGTCGTCTATCAGGAGGATTTCTTTAACTGAACAGTTAAAACAAATAGTTCATTGAAACACCGTATAGTTTTAAAGATAAAACTACAGTCTTTATATAAGAGCCCTTAGCCACCGCCATGTCAGCCTTACCCCATGTCCGCCACTAGAGCCACACACAACATCACCCCAAATAGCGATAGGTTTTCTGCACATAGGTTATGTGATGTTTTCAAAAATCCTTTACCAAATGAAGTTTACCCTTTCAATATCATAAACTGTTTTTTAATGTGATGATGTCTACACTGCTAATCAAGTTAAAAAAAATGTTTCTGATTGTGATACATTTTGTTCCAGCCAAGACAACGTTTACTAGGGAGGAGATTGACAGGGAGGTTTCCTGTCCCTGGCCAATCACTGTCATCTCAGTACCAGACGAGACACAGACACCCATACCGTTCGTCAACAACAACCAAAGTTCTAGTGGTGGTAAGTTTTATTTCAACGTTTTAGCAGTGGTATGTTCTTATTTCAAAGCTCTAGCAGTGGTATGTTCTTATTTCAAAGTTCTAGTAGTGGTATGTTCTTATTTCAAAGCTCTAGTAGTGGTATGTTTTTTTTTAAAGCTCTAGCAGTGGTATGTTCTAGTTTCAAAGTTCTAGTTGTGGTATGTTCTTATTTCAAAGCTCTGGTTGTGGTATGTTCTTATTTCAAAGTTCTGGCAGTGGTATGTTCTTATTTCAAAGTTGTAGCAGTGGTATGTTCTTATTTCAAAGTTCTAGTAGTGGTTTGTTCTTATTTCAAAGCTCTAGCAGTGGTATGTTCTAGTTTCAAAGCTCTAGTAGTGGTATGTTTTATTTCAAAGCTGTATCAGTGGTTTGTTCTTATTTCAAAGTTCTAGCAATAGTATGTTCTTATTTCGAAGTTCTAGTAGTGGTGTGTTCTTATTTTAAAGTTCTGGCACTGGTATGTTCTTATTTCAAAGTTTTAGTACTTGAATGTTCTTATTTCAAAGCTCTAGTAGTGGTATGTCTTATTTCAACGATGATTGCTTTTATTTTTTGCTTTTCAAAGTTTAAAGATGTGTTTATCTACATTTCAAATGTTGATGTGTTTTTACCGTCCATATATTAAACATGTTTTGTTTTGTCCCAAATTTAACCAGTGTTTTGTGCTGTCCACAACACAAATGAACACATGTGTTGTGATGTCCACAACTGAACACATGTGTTTTGTGTTGTCCACAATTGAACACATGTTTTGTGCTGTCCACAATTGAACACATGTGTTTTGTGCTGTCCACAATTGAACACATGTTTTGTGTTGTCCACAATTGAACACATGTGTTTTGTGTTGTCCACAATTGAACACATGTTTTGTGTTGTCCACAATTGAACTCATGTGTTGTGCTGTCCACAATTGAACACATGTGTTGTGATGTCCACAATTGAACACACGTGTTATATGATGTCCACAATTGAACGCATGTGTTGTGCTGTCCACCATTGAACACATGTGTTGTGATGTCCACAATTGAACACATGTTTTGTCCTGTGCACAACACAATTGAACACATGTGTTGTGATGTCCACAATTGAACACATGTTTTGTGCTGTGCACAACACAATTGAACACATGTGTTGTGTTGTCCACAATTGAACACATGTGTTGTGATGTACACAAATGAACACATGTGTTCTGTTGTCCACAACACAAGTGAACACATGTGTTGTGTTGTCCGCAATTGAACACATGCGTTTTGTGTTGTCCACCATTGAACACATGTGTTGTGATGTCCACCATTAAACACGTGTTATATGATGTCCACCATTGAACACATGTGTTGTGTTGTCCACATTTGAACACATGTGTTGTGTTGTCCACTTTCAGACAGTTTCCCCATTGCCGCTGTGATTGCTGCCTGTGTTGCCGCCCTTGTCCTGTTGACCTGTCTAGCACTGGCCGCTGGGTACTGCCACAGACAGTAAGTTCTAGAACATTCTTCACATGACCACATTCTGGTGGACTGGGGTCAGGGGGTGGGTCGGGAGGTCTATATAGATCTAGCATCTTGTTTAAAGGTATCTAAGTAAAAAGTTGGGGACAATCAACTCATAATGGCGGGTGCTACTGTAGTTCAGTGTATCTTCCAGACTTTTTTCTCCGGGAGGGGGGGGGGGGCGGACTAAAACTTTCCGTGGGGCGGACACTGTTAAAAGTATATATTTTCTATATTAATTCCATTTCGTTCGGGGGGGGGGGGTACGGGGGACGGTAGACTCTCTCCCCCGAAGAGATGCCTGGAAGAAACACTGCCGTAGTTGGCCAGGCAGCGTATAATGAAGATACACAAATAAATAAACGCCTTAACGTAAACAATAGGATTTTAGTGTACCACATTTTAGCGTGTACAGTTATACAGATCAAAGAGTTCACAGTCAGTCGCTCATGTCAAGAAATCAGTTTTTTATTTCACTGAATGTTTTGTTTTTCTCACACAAAGACGGTTGGTTGAGCTAATTTTTGTGTCTTTTTTTTCAGAGGAAAATTCAAAAAGGCGAAAGAACATCTGGCGTTTATTCCATACTTCGCGGATGTAAGCGGGGCTGCAGATTACAGTAAGGCATTTTCTAGAAGTTTTAAATGTGTCTTGAGAACTCAATAAATAATTGAAATAGTTGAAAAAAAAAATCTTTTCTGAAAAATTTTTTGAAATAAAAGCAAAAACTTTTCTAACTGAAAAAATTATTGAAATAGAAGCAAACGGTATCCTAAAATTATAAGACTGTTTGAGAATGTTTTAACTTTCCTCTAATTACCTGCCATCATTAACCTTTCACCAGGTGCAACCATGCAGAGCAACATGAGCTCCGTGTCTGAACGTGGGTCTCAGGTAATATAACACGACAAAGACGTGTAGGTCTCAGGTAATATAACACGACACAGGTAACATAACACGACAAATACATGTAGGTCTAAGGTAATATAACACGACACAGGTAACATAACACGACAAATACTTGTAGGTCTCAGGTAATATAACACGACACAGGTAATATAACACGACAAATACTTGTAGGTCTCAGGTAATATAACAGGACACAGGTAACATAACACGACAAATACTTGTAGGTCTCAGGTAATATAACACGACACAGGTAATATAACACGACAAATACTTGTAGGTCTCAGGTAATATAACACGACACAGGTAACATAACACGACAAATACTTGTAGGTCTCAGGTAATATAACACGACAAATACTTGTAGGTCTCAGGTAATATAACACGACACAGGTAACATAACACTACAAATACTTGTAGGTCTCAGGTAACATAACACGACAAATATTTAAGGTCTCAGGTAATATAACACGACACAGTAACATAACACGACAGATACTTGTAGGTCTCAGGTAATATAACACGACAAATAATTGTAGGTCTCAGGTAACATAACACTGCAAATACTTGTAGGTCTCAGGTAACATAACACGACAAATACTTTAAGGTCTCAGGTAATATAACACGAAACAGTAACAGAACACGACAAATACTTGTAGGTCTCAGGTAATATAACACGACAAATAATTGTAGGTCTCAGGTAACACAACACGACAAATACTTGTAGGTCTCAGGTAATATAACACTACAAATACTTGTAGGTATCAGGTAATATAACACGACAAATACTTTAAGGTCTCAGGTAATATAACACGACACAGTAACATAACACGACAAATACTTGTAGGTCTCAGGTAATATAACACGACAAATACTTGTAGGTCTCAGGTAATATAACACGACAAATACTTGTAGGTCTCAGGTAATATAACACGACAAATACTGGTAGGTCTTAGGTAATATAACACGACAAATACGTGTAGGTCTCAGGTAATATAACACGACACAGGTAACATAACACGACAAATACTTGTAGGTCTTAGGTAATATAACACGACAAATACTTGTAGGTCTCAGGTAATATAACACGACAAATACTTGTAGGTCTCAGGTAATATAACATCACACATACTTGTAGCTTTCAGGTAATATAACACGATAAATACTTGTAGCTTTCAGATAATATAACACGACAAATACTTGTAGGTCTCAGGTAATATAACACGACAAATACTTGTAGGTCTCAGGTAATATAACACGACGAATACTTTAAGGTCTCAGGTAATATAACACGACAAATACTTGTAGGTCTCAGGTAATATAACACGACAAATACTTGTAGGTCTCAAGTAATATAACACGACAAATACTTGTAGGTCTCAGGTAATATAACACGACAAATACTTGTAGGTCTCAGGTAACAAGACACGACAAATACTTGTAGGTCTCAGGTACTGTAACACGACAAATACGTGTAGGTCTCAGGTAATATAACACGACAAATACTTGTGGGTCTCAGGTAATATAATACGAGAAATACTTGTAGGTCTCAGGTAATATAACACGAAAAATACTTGTAGGTCTCAGGTAATATAACACGACAAATACTTGTAGGTCTCAGGTAAACAAAATACGACAAATACTTGTAGGTCTCATGTAATATAACACGACAAATACGTGTAGGTCTCAGGTATTATAACACGAAATATACGTGTAGGTCTCAGGTAATATAACACGACAAATACTTGTAGGTCTCAGGTAATATAACACGACAAATACTTGTAGGTCTCAGGTAAACAAAATACGACAAATATTTGTAGGTCTCAGGTAAACAAAATACGACAAATACTTGTAGGTCTCCGTAACACGACAAAAATGTCGACAAGGGAATTAATTTTTTTAAATCGAGCATTTATAGACATTAGTAAAGAACGACTACATCTATATTGTAGCATTTTAAAACCTTAGTATTTGCGCAGTTTTCTATTTGTGCAGTTTTGCGTTTGCACATTTTTTGGGAACCAAACCAACTAGTTTGTTAATTGAGATTTCTGTATTTAAAATCCTAATTTCTATGTCATACGTTGTGATTTCCAGATTGGATTGGTGAAGGGTGGCGGCTATCAGTCGGGCATGTCCGCCTTCGCCATGTCCACGTCATACGGAGAACAAAATGGAATGTTCCAGACACAATCGCTGGACAGGAGACAGAAAGATTCCATGGCGAGAAAACTCACGGACAGTCAGAACTACCTCGTCAATGGGAACTCTTCACTGGGTAAGTTGTAAATAGTCTAGGATAAGATTGTTTTTTTTTGCTAATTAAGTTGTGAACAGTGTTTTTTCCAGACTTTTTTCTCCGGGGCGGGGCACTTTAAAAAGTATACATTTTCTAGATTAATTTCATTTCGTTCGGGGGGGGGGGGGGGGGGTGGGGGCAGATTTATTCTTTAGTTGGATACGTTGTGAAGTAAATAAATAGTCAATGGTAAATTTGATTATTAGTTGTGTAAATTATGAGATATCTATTCTATAAGTAGTGTGGTATTCTGATTTTGTCGAAATGTTGAACTAGTTAATTGAATCTAAGTCACGAATTACTCTTGACAGCTATTTTATGTACATGCTAACAATTATAGTAAAACAAGGTAAACTTTATCCGAGTATTTCAATACGCACTTAGTACTCAAGTATCAGTGTCATGCCAATTAGTGTTTGTTGATGTCTTGCCTCTACAGATGAACGGGGTTTAGCAGCGACTTATTACACGTTGCCAAGGCAACTAATGTTTAATTAATTATTTTTTTGCCCATACAGATGAACGAGGTTTTGCAGCGACCTACAGCACCTTACCCCTTAAAACACGAGACTACATGACCCTTCAAGCCCAGATGGACATCAAGGTTAGAGTTCTCAAACATACATACGTATATATATATATATATATATATATATATATATATATATATATATATATATATATATATATATATATGTAAATGTGTGTGTGTGTGTTACTGTCAAAGCAAAATCATATATATATATATATATATATATATATATATATATATATATATATATATATATATATATATATATATGTGTGTGTGTGTGTGTGTGTGTGTTACTGTCAAAACAAAATCCTGCCTATACAAAAACAGTTATTAAGACTAAGCTCGTTCGTTGACTACCACTATATTAAATTAACAACTGGTAGCACCCAGAAATACGACCAGCATCACCAAATTAGTGACTTTGTAAATCATGTCGTTGAAACAAAATAACATTTTCCCAGGACGAGGCCGAGCTAGCAGCTTTAAGAGGCTCCCTCAGGGGCAAGCCGGAAGTGACCCTGGTGACCGACAACGTGGACATGAACTTCACCGTCAACCACGCCATCTCTCGCAGTCAGAGCCACGCCGGCAGCGAACCTTCCAGGTCCTCTCTCGAGAGAACGATGGAGGAAATCACGCTGCCCGTCAGTGAGGGGGGACACCTGAGGAATCTTCCAGAAAGGGTGGCGGAGGCTAGGATCTACACCAGCCATAGTAACATCTAAAGGCACAGGGGCAACAGTTGAACAACTTAGAAATGTTTTAAGCTAACTAACTGCATGCCAGCATATGTTTTTATGACTTCTCAAGTTGAATAAATACTTGCAGATTTTGACAATTACAAATTCAAAAATAAAATTACTTTTTTTAGGCGACATGTAAATTTTACTTTTTCAAATTTTAATAACAATTGGAAGTGCCTTCTTTAAAATGTGATTGGCGATTTTTTTATTGAATTTGTTTTGTGTAAATAAAAAAAGCCAGTAACTATTTTTATTTGTAAATATTCAACAAATAACCTTTTTTTGACAAAATTGGAGAACCTTTAAAGAAATTTTTAGATACCTATCAACCTAGTGTTAAAATATTTTTTGTGGCTAGGTAAAGTTTTAGGTAATTCATTTTTAGAAATCTCTTCAACGTTTCTCAGACTGAAGCACAGCCTACTATAAGATCTACAATAATTTATGCTTGTAAAATACTTGATTTTTTTATCCAAGTTATTTTTAAGCAGCTGATAGTTTTTATCACTGAGCATTACAACAAGGATTTCGATGCATTTTTTTTATGTTTCTCATGTGTCCACTATTTACTACAGGTAATAACATTTTAATGAGATTTTTTATATTGGAATCAATGTGTTTATGTGGACATATTTTACTGGTCTAAGCTGGAAGACATAATGATCGATTAGTTCCAATATAAACAGATTATAAACTTTTTTTTTTCTGAGCTTGTTTAGAAAGTCTTGCGGGTGTCGAAAGATCTATGAGTCAAACCAACAGACAATGGATTGCAAGCTTTTAGCATCCCACCTTTAAGGTTTCATTACAAAAAAATCAACATATGATTTCACGAATTCTGTAGATCCAGCAGTTTGAAGGCTAAAGATATCACTTTTTTCTACTCCGTAAGATTTTTTTTTTTAAAACTAGAATTCTGCAACTATCGGACTTTCAAATTTTTTTGGAGCCGTACCCAATACTAGACTAAACACAGTAACTCTAGAAAAAGGGAAAATCCCATCAGTTTAAAAATGTAGCTAGTTTTATTTTTACCAAAAAGATGTGTTTTTTGTGTGTGTTGGACTAGCTTTTACACTTTGAACAGTTTTATAACTGTACAGCAATCTGGCACAAGATTAATATCAATCTGAGTGTGAATAATCTCTAAATCTCTGGAACAATTTGAACCTATTTCTGAAAACTATCTAGCACAATCTGACTATAGAAGAAAGAGACTATATTATAATGGGACCATTTATAACTATTTCTAACTTATGAACTCTGTCATTGAATCCCCTCCCCCCCACACCTTTTGTACAATAACTGTTTAAATTATGGACTGCAGTATAAAATATGATCTTACTCATGTATGTACATATAATCATAATGAAATGCTCTACGGTTAGTGTTTAAGTTCAACCAAATTAATATTTCTACAACTTCATGATTTCAACTTTTTTTACTCTACTTTATTTTGGTATTCTGTTTTTATTTCCAAATTATGTTTTTAAAGCAATTTAGTAGGACCATAATAAGAGAAATTGTATCTGCAATAATCTAAATGTATATTTTGTATTTTAATGGAGTTATTATAATGGATCTGCGCCAGTAAAAATTAAGTTATACATTAAATATTATTTGATTTTAAGAAATATTACTCTTGCGGGGGAGTTATGGATATGTAAAAGAACAAGCACATTGTATTTTTTCAGGTAAGAGTTTGGCCAGAGTAAGTTTGTTGGTTTGTATATGGCCAGCAGTAATTTTGTTGATTAGTGTATGCACATAGCCGACAGAAGGTTTGTTGCTATAAACCTAGACAAGGTCAGCCACTGCAAGTTTTGTAAAGGACCTCGCTGTTTTTGTTGTCTTTGAAGGACTTTGGTTTAAGCTGTTACAAATTTTGAGATCTTCAAATGTAATGATCTTTATAAAACATCCACGATGCGGTGGCCATGTGCCATATATAGGCCAACATACATACATATTTATATATATATATATATATATATATATATATATATATATATATATATATATATATATTCGGAGAGTGTTTCGCTGTGAAATAAGATTATGGGATGTCGGGACATCTGTACCATAAATTTGTCAGAAGTTTTACTGTAAACTAAGAATTTTAAGCGCTTGTTTTTACATATCAACAGTTTGGTGTAATGCACATAATATTAATATTTTGTCTTCTATTGAAACATTTATTGTATTTTTATATGATTGTCATTATATTGTGTTCAATTCTAAAAATAATAATGTTCATGCTCTTTTCGGTTAATTCATTGATTAATTGTTTTTGTGATACAGAAAATAATGTTTTACATTCCTTTTTAGTTTTACTTGAGAAAAGACAAATGTCAATTGTTTTAAAACTGGAATTACGAATAAAATGTCTTTGAAATAGGTCAATTAGTTGTTTATTTGTTGTCCTGGGTGTATTTTCATTACTTTGTTTTCAACTGTGGGAGAATCTACATCTCCGTCGTACTTCAGCACACAACAGGTGCTAAGGCGTAGCTAGGGGAGGGGGTGGGGTGGCAGCCCAGGGCACCGACCTCAGGAGGTGTTACATTGGGTACGAAAAAGAAATAAAAAGCTTACTTTGAGCTGCGTTTCAGGTGAAGTTAAGAAAATAAAAAGCTAATTGGCTCTACGGAATGAAATATACATTACATTGAGGAAAAAAAAACCCAACAACTATTATCACTGTTTGGTGGTAGTGGTGGTGGTGTGTGTGTGTGTGTGTGTGTGTTGGTGGGGGGGGGGGGGCTTTTTCGCCAGTGTGCATAAATATATAAAGATGGGGGGGGGGGCGCAAAATTGGCAAAATTGGTAGTTCCCCTGGGGCGCCAGAATGGATTGTTAGGTCTCTGAACAGGTGAGGTTGGATGACATGAATGGATATCACGAGCGTTGTAAAAATAGCATAATCTTGGTGAACTTTTTGAGAAAACTAAGATTACCAAAGGTGGGGGGGGCATGCCCATAATAAAAAGACATGTTGTCTGTTGTTTTTTGTTATATGCGCCTGTAAATTACTGTCTGTGAACATACAGAAAGCTACTTCAAATTACATTGGCACTTTTTAGAAAACCGAACATTTTTGCATTGCCTTAGTATTGGTATCGACATACATGTAAGTTACCTTTTACCCAAGGATCCTGAACATATTATATAACACAAAAAGACAGAGGGTAGTTTTAGTGGAAGTTGATCATTTCCATACATTTACCCTTTAAGTCGTCTTGAGTGAGGTATCAAACATGAGTTGTTCGGTCTGGGATGGTGTGAGAAAATGGTACATGGTCAGGGGATAGAGCACTTGTCAGAGCTGCTCAAGTTGACTCATAGTCTTGTTGTCTAGGGATATAAAAGTAAGGGATATAGAGACACATGATCAAGGATAACAAACATTCAAGAATCTATGGACGCCTATAAATGTTAATAATGCTAAGAGGTATAGTAACTACAGCTTTTCAGAGTTATCTGTCCGGCTGGAGTATGGGCCTCCATCCTTGTGTTATTTTCTATAGGATAATGTGGTTCTTTAGTAGAGCAGTGTTATAGGTCTATAGCACTGACTTTGATTGTTACTATGGTAATCTTCCTCTTTAGACTTAGCGACCCGTTGGGCAGATGCAGTAGAGTTCATGTTTCTTGACCTGGGCAGAGTTTCTTCCAGGCATCTCTTCGGGGGGGGGGGGGGGGGGGGGGTTACGCCCCCAATCCCCCGAACAAAGTCTACCGCCCCCCCCCCCCCGAACGAAATAAAATTTATATAGAAAATATATACTTTTAACAATGTCCGCCCCCACGAAGAAAGTCTATCGCCCCCCCCCCCGGAGAAAAAAGTCTGGAAGAAACACTGGACCTGGGCATTTGAATGTATGGTGTGGTGAGCACTATTTATTGTCAAGCCGCCTTTACTTTCCCCAACGTAAGTTAGGTACCCATTAGAGTTGAGTGGACTCATGGACGCCCTACGGTCACAACCCCAAGTCGAGATCCGAACTATCATGCGACCACGCCAAGTAGTGTAGCTTTTTTGAAAAACGATGTTACGCCCCCCCCCCTACCAGACACACTTCCTCTAAATGAACCTCAAGGTCTCTTTCGGGGAATTTTCTACCCCCCTTCCAATCAACCTCGCCCGTTTTGTTTTAAAAACATTCATTTCTTTCTCAAATATTTAATCTAGGCTACTTAGCTAACATATTTAATTTTATTGGTTAAAATACCCAAGAATGTCCTGCTACATTTTTTTAAAACTTCGAAAGCAATGTATCCACTTTTTTTTCTAAATTTAAGACGGCCTAGGGTCTGCGTGTGTTACTTATGTGAGTGGAATTACTTTTGTATCGCTTGTTTTCAACTTTCAAAATGTAAAACTAATTTATCTGGCACGTATTCCAAATTTTGATCTGGCACATCTTTCGTTTCTTAGTTTGTGTAACATAAATAACATAACGCCTTCTTTTCTCAGTGTCACTGTGAATTCATAGGTTTGAAAAAGCAAATAGAAACGTAAAAAAAATCCAACATAGTTCTTTTTGTATAATAAAGGTGTCGACAACAGAGACAAGAATGTTGCCAGTGCAAAAAATGCAACTGCACCAACCCTCACTAAACGAGGTTGCTGAAGGTAAATAAAAAACTAACTTTACTCGGGTACAGTGCCAGGTAGGCTTTTGATTAGTTCACTTCTAGATAGATTCAACTATTAACAGTAGGGCTCCTAATATATAGAATCTAGATCTAGTTAAACAATATCTATAATATATTATATCGTTTTCAGTTAGGCCTATTGAGTAATTGTTTTTTTTTTGTTTCAGTCCTGAGAGAGGGCCTATCCAAAAACTTCAGTCTTGTTGAAGTCAATGTGGTAGATTGTCCTGATTTATCTACTGCGCCATTTGATTTGGCTGATAAAGGTTGCCACTTGTTTTTATTTTTCAAGTTTATTTATTTATAGCTAGATCTAGGTCAAAGGGTAATCTACCTAACACATTATATTATTTCATAGTGAAAAATGATAGATCTGAGCCTCGGCTTTACTATAAAAACACAACAATAATTTCATTTGGAAGAACTTAAAAAAAAGATGTAGGGCTACCTTATATATTAGGCCTATACAGTATACAAAACACATAGTGACATAGTGAATTTTAAAACAATTGGGCCTGTAGTGTATACTAACTAGATCTATAGTTATTAATTAGTTATAGTTAGATCTAGTAGTTAGTTAGTAGACCTATATTATGCCCTACTAATAAAGGCTACTTATGATAGGCCTACCAAACAGGAATATTATAATATTTCCTGATGAATACCCCTGTGTTTACAATATTCAAATTATTGTTTAATCAGCAAACTTGAAGATGTAAAATTATCTAGCCTATAACAGAAGTTTTGCTGTAGGGCATAGCTTGCTAAAAGTCTTATCTTAACCGTGTGCTTAGTGACCCACTTACTTTACCATAACCAGCGAATGTAGGTCTGTTGATTCTGCATGGTTTAAATGGACAGATAACACAGTCAGCAAAGATAAAGCAACTAGTATCACCCCAGATCACCCCTGCCCTTTCAATCTTTTTCCTACGATTTGAAGTTCCACAAGCTGAAAATTTTTTTTTCAATTTTCACACAGAATGCAGATGTGAAATAGAGTTATATTTTACCTTTAAATAAGGAATATGTCCTTTAAATAAGGAATATGTCAGCACTATGTCCAACCGTTCTTAGTTTTCCCAAATGAAGCTAGGTACTAATAAGAGCTGTGTAAACTCAGTGATGTACCCTTGAGCCAAGTTCAATTCTTTAGTGCTAGCTATCAAAGCTCTGCCATTTGACCAGGCCTCTCATTAAATAAGCTAGCATGTATGTATACATGGCAGATGATTGAAATATATTGTTTTAAACTTAAGTATTTTCACTCAAGTCTATGACTTTCTAATCACTAAACAGAAACTCAAGTTGTAAAAATTAAATAGGGTAAGACATTTCCCAGCCAAGGAAATTAAATATGGTAGGCTTTTGTTAATTTAATGACTGGGTTAACATTTGTTTTAATTTTATAAAATATGATGCAGGAATTTGTGGGCAGCCTCGTATAGTGGACATTGGGGGACCAGACTATCTGAAACCATTTCCACAGAAACAAAAGGTGAGTAGCATCAGTGTTGTTTAATCTAACAAGAACAGTTTAACTCAGTTTTGTGGACCAAATGAGGCTAGTAATCTCTAAAAATAATTTGGATTTATAAAAAGCTGTAGTGTTTGAATGTTGGTTACGCTAACTGTCAAATGACATATTATGTAGTGTTCAATTGTTCCCTTGCCCTGATTATACAAAAGAATCTGTGTGGTTACCCATCTTTAATTTCTGTACTTCAAGTCAGGGTTATCAAACCTTAGTGGGTGTAAACAGGTTCGAACTGAACTTTTTGGAGTTAGCTGTTGTGCTTTCTACTACTCCACAACATCATCCCATCAACAGTAGTAGAAGTACTAGTTTATTTTGTGTATTATTCAATAATGAAAACATTAAATTAACCCCCATGTATTTTTACTCCCAGATTTATGACTTTGACAATGTTGCCAAACTTGCTGAGTTACCAGGAGCTCTGCTGTTGGGGGCAGGGGCGGGACCACATCATAAGATTGGGGTCAACTGTGAACTGGTGTGCAATGTTAAACTGGGCCAAAGGTCAAACAACAAGACAGTCATTGCTAAAGTGGATGAAAATGTAATTTTTAAATTTTGTCGTTCATCAGCTTGTTATTATAATTTAGGTAGAAATAAATGAAATTTTTTTTCTGAAGTTATCTAAACAAAAATATATATTATAAATATTGATGTTAAAAAATTTAGCAGCTTTTACAAAAGTGAGATACCTTTAAGATTAATTTTATTTTCACTTTTTCTTTTTAAATTGGAAATTTTAGAGCTGTAATATTTCATGACGTGAACTGAGACTTAAAAGCTAATTTATTTTACTGTTCAAAATGAAACGAATTTTCTCTCTTAGGATGGGACTTACATCCTTGAGAAGGATCCTTCAGGGGAGTTTTCTTTAATGGGCAATTTCCTAGTCAGTGAAGGCAAACAAGGACAGGTATGCATACATCTAACTAAGGTGTTTACATAACATAAACTAAATTTCTTTCCTTTGATTTGTGTACTATTTCAGTCACATCAGGCTTCTATTTGTAATCATGATCTAATATAATAATGAAAGTATAATATGATCATTAAAAAGTTGGGATAGTACTAGATAGTATGTTTAATTTTGTGAAAATACAATTCAGGTTCTGGAGATCAAAGCTAAAAATAGAATAGGAAGTGAGAATTTTGTGTCCTGTGTCCACAAAACTTTGACCGCTCATTACGGGGAGAAAGCTGTCGGCCTCGGTGGTACGTTCTTGCTGCAGACAGGCAAGGCAAACATACACGTAATGGTAAGTCACTGACTGGCCCAAGGTCACTGATTCATGCCCAAGGTCACTGATTCATGTCAAGTTACAGAAAGTAGCCTTGATCTGATGCTCAAAAGCTGAAGTAGTTTGGACTTCCCCCAGACCACCCCTCTATTGGGATTCTTTCCCCCCCCCCCCCCCCCCCCCCAGAATTAGGATCCCCCAGACCACCACTGAATTGGGACTCCCCCCTAGACTAAACTCGCCCATAAGCTTTATTTTGCTGATGAAGTATAGACATTTAAATAGCAAGTTTCATTTATCCAGTTTTTCACTTGGTTTCAGTAAATTTAGATGCTTGTGTCTGTAAATTGTAATTACAAGCTAAATTAATACATTGACCATTTCCACAATATTTTATGTTTTCTAAGCTGCTATTTCTGACAGTATTTAGCCACATATATTCAAAAGGCATAAAATAAAAATGTTAGCTGTTCACATTTTGTTAGCAACAAAAAGGTTACCAATATTTTTTGTTCTTAGCCTGATTTTGCCACTACAGCCCTGGAGACTGATGCGCAGACGGACGAATGGTTGAGGTTTTACGAAATGGACGCTCCACTGATTCATGTTGGTGAAGTGGTTTCTGCAGATCCTGAGGTATTATATTAAGAAATTTTTTCCGTTGACCATGGCACACAAGGGTTCAGTTTTGGGGTTGAAGTTTAGATAACTCTCAAATAATTTTCAACTCCCTCTATTTTAAATTTAAACTTCCTTATTTAAAATGAAAATTTAACATTTAAAACTAAAATGTCTAATGACTAAGCAAATTATCCTTTTGAACCTGTCTGTCACTTAGGCAGATGAAGAACCTAATCATGTTAATCTCATAAACTTAGGTCTTTGGATAAATATGTAATAGACTTTTGTTGATTCAAAGGTATATATTTTGTTATTGCAATACTGGCATTTTAATTGTTCTTCTCAACAGAAACTCCATCTTCGCCAGGAGCATTTCCACTGCTTCAGTGACCATGGACAGGGAGGTCACTACCACTACGACACCACCCCCAACAACGCTTCCTACCTGGCGTACTTCAACGTGGCAGAGTTTGTGTACCGTATTGACTTACCTGAACAAAGGAACTATGTGTTTTAGCTAGTTGGTACCCATCTCACCAAGTTACTTACAGATTTTTTTGGAGGTATTTAAAACAGGTAGTACGATAATGAACTACCTATGGACTAATTAAGTTGATGGGAAAAGTATTGTTATTGAACGTTTAAAAAGCAAATTTTGAAACATATTTTTTGAAATTGTACTGATAAATGTACTGATAATGAAATATTTGGTATGTTTTGAGAAGGTTTAGTTTTAAGATATAAAGTTTTACAATGTTTGCGGGCTTTGTAGATATTTATTTAACCTTTGAAGGTTTAGTAAGTGTGAAAAAAGTATACAGCAATGAATACTATTTTCAAGGTAAATTTTTGCTCTATGAGTAAAATATTTGTCCTAATAAGTCTGTGCTAACCAGTTTTTTTGGACAGAAACTTAATGATACATCATTTGTAGGTTTCATTATTTGTCTAAAAAAAATAACAACTAACCAGTATTTTAAACTCACTTTACAGAGAGTACGGCTGTTTAAACTCAGCTTATTTTGTTAGACTCATGTCAGGTTATAGGAGTGGGAATATAAAAATATAAAAGTGGCTGGTCAGTGTGCTGACCACACAATCCCTTTCTTATCCTGAGTTAACAGAATAAGATGCACACAATTAGATCTGACAAGGATACTTCTAGTCATTAACTTTGTCTTGATAAACTAAATTAATTATCTTCAGTATTATCCCAACACTGGGACTAATTTAAACCTACATACCTTTATGGTAAGGTTATTCTTATAAACTAAGTCTAAGATTCTACTCACTTAAAATTAATTATTTGTATCTTATTTTTTAATAGTATTATTATATTGATGGAATGTTGCTCAAACCAATGTATAGATTGTTTCACATGTAACATAATATAGATGGGGTGATGTGGCAGAGTGCACCTTAACTTGAATGTCTTGGGTTCGATTCTTGATTGAGTCTACAGGATGACAAAGTCCCATCTACCCTTAATTGGTGGCTGACTCAAATTTCGAAAGTAATGGTGTCTGGGTATAGGATATTATCCATTCTGAAACAGTAAATTACCCTTTTGAACCTGGCAGTCCATTCACTTGTTTCTGTGACTATGGCAGTTGGAGAGTTACAATGAGCGTCATGCCTAGCAGTTTTTACTTTCTTTAATGTGAGTCAGGTACTCATCAGAGCTGTGTCCCAACTTGAGCCTGGGTTCTAACTCAAATATTATTGGGTTAGCAGTTATATGCTCTGCCTTTTGACCACACATTCCATCTTTATAAGCAGAATTTATGTAAGTAGGTTAAAGGGTATTTTTTGTTAGTGTAAATAAAAATATGGCATATAGAAAGTGTATTGGTTTTATTTACAGACCTCCCAACAAAATGGAAGTGTTCTGTGTACATAAAACCTAAGCTATGGTATTTGGTTCTAATCATATTTTGCACATTTTAAGCAGATAGCTGTTTGTTGTTACAAGTCTTTCATGTTTATCAAATGAAAATTTCCATTTTAATGTGTTTTTATATACACTTGCAATACACTTTGTTATGATATTGCATAATCATCCATCTATGACAGATGTTAAATTTTATCTATATGCACATACAAAGTTATGGGATGTGGAATTTACTACCTGATTTTAAACAGTACATATTGGGAATTTGTTTTTATCCATATTTAATTCATCAATTGCAATTTTTGATGTTACTAATTTATGAGAAAGTATTTTTCTTGAAATTTATTTTTTTAGGAAAAAAGTTTGATCAATTTTCAAAATGTTGCAATCAATATACAAAATATTAAACAGAATGTAATAAATAATGTATTGTTTTCCTTATGTAATGATTAAATTTGTTTGTAATTTTGACTTTGGTGGAATAATGCTCTAGAATTTAAGAAAAAACTTCAATCTTTTCTTTCCTGTCCTTTATAAAATAAAAAAATAATTATCTCATAGTTTTAATACATTTTAAAAAGTACACACCTTTTTAGTTCATTAAATATCCTACTTTTCTTATCTAGATTTCAGTTCCATCTTGAAATCACCTCAGTGGTTCTAAAGAATCATACTTGATAATAAAAACCACAAAAACATGTCAACAAAATAATTAACACCACACTTAATATGATAGATAGTTTTATACATGTTTTTTTTTCATAAGCAGCTTCTTCCACATGCATAAAACTAAAACATGATTCAATATTTTTTTCATTCTCCAACATGCTTTCAAGAAATATGTTGAATTAATTACTACATACATACACTTTTAAAAGAATCACACCAAATGCTCTAGCAGTTAGAAGGCATTGAAATTATTACATTAAAAAAAAAATTAACATCTTACAATAATAAAATTCTAATTGATGAATAATAAAGCATAGTAACTTAAGGATGATAAACTGTTTTACTGGAAACATTCTTACAGACCATAATTAAATTTTCAGCAATGACTCGCATGCCTGAGAATGGAAGGTTATAATAATAACATTATAACATTAGAAAAATTATATAGTTATAATGTGAAAAAAGCCTATTACATTAGTTAGGAATAATACATTTTAAATTGCTGCTGCTTACACAGGAAGTTGCAATAAAACTTTTTTTTTAGTGTTGGTCATGAACTGGTCATACTATCATCTAAGTTTTTATTTTAATACACATATTTTGTGTATATGTATGACAAAACTACACATGACAGAGCAGCAATATTGAGGAACTAATGACTAAATTAATAGCCGGGTGCTGATAAACTTTTGTCCATGAACTTCCTCTTGGCAAAACACAGCCACCACTGAAATTGAAAAATTGAAACAATTACTAACACAATATTTCAACACACTCAGACCCCCCCCCCCCCCACAACAATACACAATCAATACACAACACAGCTACAACACAAGGATAAACACATGGAACTGACACAAAACAAAACAAGACAATCTAAACAAATCACCTTGGAAGGCTTATCTGTGGCATCAAAAACTTTGTCCAAGAGTCTGACCCCAGTTTCTTGTCTCAGCTGTTGCAGATACTGCCTCATGGTGTCTACACAGATTTAAGATAAAGGAATGTTCACATGATGTGGTACAAAAACTAGTGTCAATAAAAAGATTAGTATTGAAAACTAAATAAATCTATAAGTATTTTATATCATAATTTATGTAAAGAATGTTTCACAGAGATGAACAATATCAATTATAGCTATGTAAATAGGAGGAGTTTCTTCAAGGCATCTCTCCCCCCCCCCCGAACAAAATGGAATTTATATAGAAAATATATACTTTTACCAGTGACCCCCCCCCCCCTCCCAAATATCAAGTGCCCCCACAGAGAAAAAAGTCTGGTAGAAACTCTGATTTAAATGTCCCCATTCACAAGTCTAGTAAATAAAATAAAACAAATGCTGTAATATTTTCAGTGATTCCAGTTAAAAATCTAGTTAAAGTTAAAGAGCATTTTTAAAAAAAACTCCTAATATCTTCAGTAAAAAGTCTAGTATATCAAAATAAATTCTCTAATATTTCCTCTGTACCAGTCGCAAGTCTAATGAATAAAAATAAACTTTCCAATATCCCCAACTGTATCAGTCACAAGTCTAATGAATAAAAATATAATTTCCAATATCTCCAACTGTCCCAGTCGCAAGTCTAATGAATAAAAATATAATTTCCAATATCTCCAACTGTATCAGTTACAAGTCTAATGAATAAAAATATAATTTCCAATATCTCCAACTGTCCCAGTCGCAAGTCTAATGAATAAAAATATAATTTCCAATATCTCCAACTGTATCAGTTACAAGTCTAATGAATAAAAATATAATTTCCAATATCTCCAACTGTCCCAGTCGCAAGTCTAATGAATAAAAATATAATTTCCAATATCTCCAACTGTCCCAGTCGCAAGTCTAATGAATAAAAATATAATTTCCAATATCTCCAACTGTATCAGTTACAAGTCTAATGAATAAAAATATAATTTCCAATATCTCCAACTGTATCAGTTACAAGTCTAATGAATAAAAATATAATTTCCAATATCTCCAACTGTCCCAGTCGCAAGTCTAATGAATAAAAATATAATTTCCAATATCTCCAACTGTATCAGTTACAAGTCTAATGAAAAAAAATATAATTTCCAATATCTCCAACTGTATCAGTTACAAGTCTAATGAATAAAAATATAATTTCCAATATCTCCAACTGTCCCAGTCGCAAGTCTAATGAATAAAAATATAATTTCCAATATCTCCAACTGTATCAGTTACAAGTCTAATGAATAAAAATATAATTTCCAATATCTCCAACTGTATCAGTTACAAGTCTAATGAATAAAAATATAATTTCCAATATCTCCAACTGTATCAGTTACAAGTCTAATGAATAAAAATATAATTTCCAATATCTCCAACTGTATCAGTTACAAGTCTAATGAATAAAAATATAATTTCCAATATCTCCAACTGTATCAGTTACAAGTCTAATGAATAAAAATATAATTTCCAATATCTCCAACTGTATCAGTTACAAGTCTAATGAATAAAAATATAATTTCCAATATCTCCAACTGTATCAGTTACAAGTCTAATGAATAAAAATATAATTTCCAATATCTCCAACTGTCCCAGTCGCAAGTCTAATGAATAAAAATATAATTTCCAATATCTCCAACTGTATCAGTTACAAGTCTAATGAATAAAAATATAATTTCCAATATCTCCAACTGTCCCAGTCGCAAGTCTAATGAATAAAAATATAATTTCCAATATCTCCAACTGTATCAGTTACAAGTCTAATGAATAAAAATATAATTTCCAATATCTCCAACTGTCCCAGTCGCAAGTCTAATGAATAAAAATATAATTTCCAATATCTCCAACTGTATCAGTTACAAGTCTAATGAATAAAAATATAATTTCCAATATCTCCAACTGTCCCAGTCGCAAGTCTAATGAATAAAAATATAATTTCCAATATCTCCAACTGTATCAGTTACAAGTCTAATGAATAAAAATATAATTTACAATATCTCCAACTGTATCAGTTACAAGCGTAGCGAATTAAAATAAACTTTCCAATCTTCAACTGTCCCAGTCACAAGTCTAGTGAATAAAAAAAATAAATAAAATGCTGTAATGGCCTACCATCCTCAGCTTTGTTGGCTGGCTTTATGTACATGGCATTGAGTGGGAACCCCGCCTCGCCTGGAATGGGAAAGTTGGAAATGCCGAGGGTGTACATCTCTTTGTCACCTTGACTCCTGGAGGAACACTGGAACACACGGAGGTCACATGATCAGTCAGGTGGGACACAGGGCTATTTCAGTAGTGTTATACAACTTGGGTTGTGTTGGTATTGTTGTACTACATGGGTAGTGTTGTACTACATAGGGAGTGTTGGTAGTGTTGTACTACATGAGTAGTGTTGGTAGTGTTATACTACAAGAGTGGTGGTGGTAATGTTATACTACATGGGTAGTGTTGGTAGTGTTATATTAGATGAGCAGTGTTGGTAGTATTATATAACAATAGTGTTATACCGCAACAGTAGAGTAGTGTTCTTGAATTCTACAAAAATTAATTTAAAACATGGCAATAGAAAATATTCATGTCAAAAATAGTAAATTACTCTACAGATGAAGTAGAGGTCATCTGTTTTACAAGGAATGAGATCAGGATTGTATAATAAACAATACGACCTCTATTTATTACTTCCCCTGATTAGTCATCTCATTTACTGGATGGACTTAGGTATGTCTTAATCCACTTAATTACTTAACACAGGAAGTGACCATGAGACTGTCCAGAACTCATGTGTTAGCATAGGCTGTCTAATTAATTAGCAATAACTCTCAGTTTAATGAAGAAAGAAGGATATTATAATGTAGTCTCTAGCAGTGTGACTTACCCTCTGAAGTTTCTTTAAACACTCGCTGATGTACAAGGTGATGTAAATCAATGTTCTGTCAGCTTCACTCTATAAATGAAGGCATGTTGACCAGCAGTCAATATATTATACGTAATATATTTAGCAAATGTTATATATACAATAATATATTTAAGAAAAATTTCGTTTTGCTTAATAGAAATGGCACTCATAAAATAATTTTAAATAAAAAATAATAATACAATAACAAACCATACCTTGATTTCATAGTTGCGAAAAAATATATTGGCTTTGAAAAAGTATATTGCTTCATCTATAATGTCAAAGTCAGACGCTTAAAAAGAAAAAAGATTTAGAGTTAGAGATAGAGATTAAATAAAATACAATTTTCAATGATGTGCAACTTTTAAAAAGATTGTATATATACTTTTATTTAAACTGAAGAAATAAATGAGACTTCAACAGTCAAATTTTGTCAAAGTAATTCCTGAGCTACAGTGTTGTGACAAAGTACAAACAGAAACTTACTGTCTTTTGGAGCTGGGCCTTTATACTGAGTGCGTATAGGAAGCAGTGCCATGTTTCCTATCAGCTTGGGAGGCGTTAGGAACTGGGAATGATATGCCTGTAGAGATAAAGGTTTTCAAAATGAATTATTAAATGCAAAATAAATAAATAAATGTCTCAAATATACTAAAATTAAAAATAGAAATATTAACTTTAGACCAAAAGGATTAATAAAGGGAGAAAATAAGTATTTTCTTTAATAACCATCAAGAAACAGTTTGTTTAACTACATAAAATTATCAACAGTCTTTTGTAGATTTACCAAGCTTTGCATACAAAGGGGATGATGATGCAATGCTACACATAGATTAGTAGCTCAAAGCTTGGACAAAATGTTGGCCGGTTGGAACAACCCAACCAGAACTGAGATGACCAGTGATTGCCAATCAGGCTTAAGGTTAGGGTCACATGACAAGAATGGGGGAAAGAGTTTTAGTTTAGCATCAGGCAGTCTTGCAAGTTTAGTGTCACAAATTTTCATCATCCATAGATATTGGAATGGTATCATTTGGATAGCAGCAGATTAGTAGAATTAGATATTCAACAATAGTAACAGGCAGTTTGATGTTATAGGAGTATTTTATGTAAAGAGAAACAAACATTGTTATTTATATTTCATCAAAGACTTCAAAGTTGTCATTTATGACATTTATACACCAAACAGGTTTTTAAGTAAAGATCAACAGCCCCCTTTATTGTCAAAAATGAAGTTTTGACGCTGTTACTTGCTAGACAGTATTTTCTATCACTAGTCACCAAATTGACCATTATGACTGTTTAATATAAACACACATAAGGCTTATGTACTCAACCAGAGATAAGATACTATTAGGTGAAGTTTACCTTACAAGATATTATGTTACTAGTAAAGAATGCTCCCCCCCTCCCAGTTATAGTGTGGTACCTCTACCCAAAATAGTTTTAAAAAGCAAATAACTAACCTTTGGATTATCCATGTCTTATAATTCTATTTAAAATTAACTTATTTTTATGCACAAATCTCCTACACCTATGAAGCTAGTATCAGAAAATATGAGATTAAGATTTTCGTATCTTCTATAAACCAAAAAAAAAATGGTTTAAACAAAAAAATTCATACTGATGCCATTAGTGGGCTAAAAATAAATTTGTAGACTTAACTGTGAGTAATTTAGAAAAACTTTTAAACAGAAAATAGCTAAATGAAATTAGTCACTTTGGTATGAATAATGAGCATACTAAAATAATTATTAACTCATAAAACCCAAAGATGAATACCCTTAAAATGTATGAAACAGTTAAGTAAATACTCCATGTATCCTACTTCTTGACCTATGCAATATTTCATCTTAATCATCAAACCGTAATTAAACGGAATTAAACTAAGACTAAATTAATTAAGTTATTGCCACTACACACAATTTTAAATTAAAATAGGGGCCTATTGAAAGTAATTTGAACAGGCCCAAGCTATTGAATCTTTTAACAATGTTTGTTAACTAGTGATTATGGTCTGAATAACCATTACAAGTTATAATTTAATATAAACAAATTAAATAAAGTCTAGATACGAGTGCTAATCAGCCACAAAAACAAAAATAATTTAACATGAAATCGAAGTGGGCGTTAACAAAATTTTACTCCAAATGACAACTTCACTTCCCCACTCCGATACTAGATCAATAAAGGCGACGAAACTCTACGAGTATGAAGGGTACATTAAACTTCCTTCTTGTGAATACGACCTAGTTTGGTGTGTAAATATGTGGTATAAGGCGAGACTTAATGGTCTTTACCGGCATTGTAGGAGAATTTGTCTTCCTTCTTCTATTACCAACAGTGTAGAGAAGTAAAGGAGACACACACCAGTAACACTTCCGGGTTGCCGTTCCTATTCTAACCGGTGCAAACGAAATCTCAACCAGTTCATTTATTCCGCCGTGTAAAAATATATCGGTGAATTTAGTAGATCAATACAATAAGCATATTAATAGTTACTAGAATAATATTAAACAAAAAGTATCAAATAACGTTTAAACAAACTTTTGGTTCAAATAATCACTGAGACAGTGATACACATAGGTAGGTTTAATATTAGTCATCTTATGACATATTTTGATTACACCGAAAGCAATCTTTCTTGTCTTTATTTGTAAGTATAGCACGCAAAAGTAGTAAGGTCTATGGGGCAAGTGAAGTAGAGTTCACTTGTTTCTGTGACCTCGGCATATGAAGAGATAGTGTGGTCAGCACTATGCCCAGCCACCTTTACTTTCCCCTAACGTGATTTCCCCTAACCCGGATTCGAACTCGAGACTTACGGGTTAGCAGTCCAGCTAGACCACTTCGTCCCCCTACGCAAAAGTAGTAGTTTATTAAAATTTAGCTCTCGATCTAAGCAAACATTAGCTATTAAACCTATTATTTATGTTTTGGCTGAAATATGCAATGCAATTTCAAACTTTCACCTATTTAAAGGGAAATAATCGTTAGTGATATTGAAAAACGTATAATTTTCTTGCCTCCCCTTATTCGTTTTCACATATTTATTTTTCCCCTTTCGTCTTTCAGATAAATTGAATTTTATGTGGCATTGACCTAGTTTTATTTCATTCTTCCTAAAACTATTGTTAAATTATTAAATGGATGTTTTATTAATATTTGTTAGTATTCTAAACAAAATGAATGTGTAATAGTCTATCTATGCCTAAATATGTTTCCAAATGGCATTGATTAACATAACCTATTTAGGCCTAACGTGATTTTGAGTAAAATTAGCCTGACCTCTGTAGGCCTCGACTTAATAATCTATTCAGCCAAAACTTAACCTATAAATTGGGTCTTTATTGTGCAGTAATGTGTATCGATTAGAATTAGATCTACATTCGTCGTGCAAGCGAGTTGGTAAAAAAAAAAGTAACTCTGTAGGTCTATCTGTTGGATTCACAAAGCAGTTTAAATGAATTATATATAGGCCTACTTCTAGGTAAATTATTACTCACCCGACTGCTAAATAGCCAAAACAATTTAAGTATAAATGCTAACTCAATGAGGATGTAACGATTTCATTCAGTTACGCGACCGCGCTTTCACATGGCCGGTTAGCTCAGTTGGTTAGAGCGTCGTGCTAATAACGCGAATGTCGTGGGTTCGATCCCCATACTGGCCAATATTTTTTTTGCTGACTTGTCATTTTAATTTAATTGGTTGAGTGTATTTGGTGGAATTTTACAAACGTTTGTTAATAATTATTAATCATTAGTCTTATATTCCGTCTTTAATATTATAGAAATGAGCTAGGTTTTTAATAAACCATATATTTTTACGGAACGTAAATAGACAATATAAACAATTAGTTTATACATTTACATCGTCATAATCTTTCCCCAGATGAAGTAGTGTTCATTTGTTTCAAATGACCACGGCCTAAAAGGGGGTTAGTATGGTTAGCACTATGACCAGCGCCTCATTTGCCTAACGTAAGTCGGGTACCCATCAGAGATGAGTGAACTCAGGGACGTTCTACAGACTTGAGCCCGGGATTCGAACTTAAGACTTTCGGGGAAGCAGTCTTAAGCTCTACCATCCAACCACTTCGTCCCCATTTCGTTTACATACCAGTGGTCGGCGTGGTCGAGTCGGTAATGCTCATGGTTGCTAAACCGAAAAGTCTCGAGTTCGAACCCTCGTGCAGATGAGGCTCGTTAGCTGGGGACAGCCACTCTTCTAGGAGAGACAACTCCAAAAATCAAACAACTGCTGCCTTGTAGTTTGTTCTTGGTTGGACAAAGGCTATGGAAGCAAATCCAAAAAGAAAAGCAAGTGGAAATCGGAGTCAATGGCCTCAATGGCGCATAACCAGTTGACACGTACCGCTTAATTGTGTTGGTGGTCGAGTCGGCAAAAAGCTCATGGTTGATACATTCGAACAAAGTCTCGAGTTCAAACCCACTGGCAGATAAATATCGATTCCCTTCAACACAAATAATTAAGAACGAAGAAGAAGAAGAAGAGTTTACTTACCTAACGGTAAAAAACTGTGACTATCACTGACAGGCAACTTTTGACCTAAAACCAGTGGTGTCGCTAGGTCGGGTGTCATCCAGTAGTGTAACTTGAAGTGGATAAACCATTATTTTCACATAAAGTTTAGCAAACCAAAAGCTTTCTTATATGAAGTTATTTCTTGTGTTCTCAGTGGTGACGTACCTAAATAGAGTCTCTTTCAGACCTCCAACTTCCAGCGTTTCTTCCAGACTTTTTTCTCGGGGGGGGGGGGGGGGGGGGGGCACTTGATATTTTCTGGGGGGGGGGGGGGGGAGGGTGGTGGGGGGGGGGGAGGGTGGCGGACACTAGTAAAAGTATATGTTTACTATATAAATTCAATCTCGTTCGGGGGGGGGGGGGGGTGTAGACTGGAAGAAACTCTGCCCACGTCCACGGACGAAATACAAAAAAAAAAAAAAAAAAAAAAAAAAAGAGTAAATATGTAAGTCAGATTTCACCCACCCCTCATCGATAATTTTTAAATGTCCCCCCCCCCAGGTTGTTTTTTTTTCTTCCAGGGATGGTGTTGTGTGAGTTTGTATTTGTGCGTGTGTGTGTGATGGGTCGAGGCGTAATTTTACAATGTTAACATGGTGGGAGAAAAAGGTGCATCTGATCACGTGACCCACGCGCCCTATCATTGAACTCTAAATTAATCAGCGCGGGTATTGGATGTGTTTAGACAAGTTGTACTACACCGATAAATCTGTTATCGGCTGAATGCTGGTGACGGCAATCATATCGCTGTCGTTGTTGTGATCTCGCGTGTTTTCACATGTTCTCGCGTGATCTCGTAAACACAAACCACTACACACATCTCACTGATAAACAATCACTGTGATCGATGTATAATTAATTCGAAGCAATGCGTTTCAAATAACGTTGACGTATTTTAAATGCATGTATCAGTCAAATCACTCAACACGTGTGCGTGTTTGTTTTATTTTACTAACAGCGACATGGATTTTATTTTTGAATCGTGTTTTACTAAGGTCTACTTTTCTTAATGTCGCTCATGAAGAATCAACATCGCATTCTTTAGAATTTTCTAAGAAAGTTCCAGAGTCATGCGGAGCAGTGAGGTGGTCCAGGAGGAATTTACCTGTGACTGGACTTGTGAGTTTTCCCGGTTCTGGAAACACCTGGCTCAGGTTCTTAATTCAAGAGGCAACAGGTAAAACAGAAGGTACCCCCCCACCCCAGTTCCTCAACAGCCTTTGCTAAGAACAGTGGTTCATAACCTATCCGGAGGTACCAAACCCCACCAGTTTCAATATGCACATTCACCGAAAGTTTCTTACTAGTTCTATCGTCCGTACTGACGAATTCCGATCGTGTATTGTATGTGTATTGGCCTTCGGCGGATCCCTGAGACTGACTTACCGAACCCTCGGGGTTCGATCGAACCCATGTTAAGAACCATTGGCTTAGAAGCATGCTGCAAGACTTTCATCTGTGCACATACTTTGTCACATCTCATGAACTGTCTATTTCGCAAAATGAAATCAAAACAATTTATCTCGAAGTTCATGATTCATTAGGTGTATTTGGTCTAGGTCTTATGCTATAGACTACTAACCCGAAAATATTGAGTTCGAATCCGGGTTCAAGTCAGTAGACCCACCCTTGGTCCACCCAGCTCTGATGGTTACCTAACTAACGTTAGGGAAGTAAAGGCGGCTGGGCATAGTGCTGACCACATTAGACCTTCATAGGCCGAGGTCACAGAAACAGGAGAACTTCGCTTACCCCATGGACCGTCAGGTTCGAAAAGGGAAATTTACTACTTCACGGTAATAGGGCGTCACTCCCTGGATACTGTAGAGAAACCACCTATTAAAATCCCCCCTCCCCGGATTTTCAAGTGCAACCCCCCACCCGCCCCCGGAAAAAAGTGTGAAAGAAACACTGTACTCGATAGTCTGAGTTAATGACTAATGATCACTTAAAGCCCATCAGCTTCAAGAACTGCAAAGAGGTTTTATCCTCACAAAATCTGGCATTGAGCCTCACCAATCAGGCAACGGGGGGATTCGTTTTCTAAGGTCAACCACAACCTCCACATGACAACCAGTGGCGGAACTAGAAAAAAAAGGCTCCCCCGCAAAGAAAAAATTAGGGCCCCCCTATATATATATATATATATATATATATATATATATATATATATATATATATATATATATATATATATCTTAGCTGAGTAATTTAGTCTATTTCAGGGGTCGGCAACCTTTCCAGGCGGAAGAGCCAAAAGTTACAATTTTTAAAATTTCGCTGGTTTTAAAGAGCCACTAACATTATTTTTTCAAGTATTCTATTTTATTTTATAAAGATCATTAGTATTTGTGCAAGGAGCCGGAGAGCCGCATCTTGACATCAAAGGAGCCGCATGCGGCTCGCGAGCCGCAGGTTGCCGACCCCTGGTCTATTTCATTGCAATATATAGCCATTCTGACAGAACAAACCAGAAAAAAATTTAGTCCAAAGCAATTATAAGGTACTAAAAAACCATATACATGATGGTCAAAAATATATAAAGACGTTAGCTTGATTCGTGAATGGTTTCTCGCGTTATGTTTATTTTTTTCATTTTTGGCTTTTATAATATCAATTTTGAAAACATTGATTTTTATAGCTATACTATTGTATAGTACGTCTTATTTAAGTAATAATTCAGAGAATTAATTGCTTTTTAATTATACATAGTACAAAACTATTTAAATGAGCTTCGTGGGCATCCCTATTTTAAAGAAGGGCAGTAAGTCATGGAAGTAGTGTGAATGTTTACCTACCTTTCAAACTATAGCTCTTGTAGATTTTAAATTATTTTTCTACGCAACAATCTCTGCTATTGTTGTTTTTTTTTTTTTTACAAAACCGCTTTCAAGATGTATGAAAAACATAATTTTTGAAAAAAATGCATTGTTTTTTGGTCGGAACTGGGCCCCTAACCGTCCTGGGCCCCCCCCGCATTGCGGGGTCTGGCGGTATGGTAGTTCCGCCCCTGATGACAACGCCAACCTGATTTGTGGGCTTTACAGTCCAGGCGACCTAGACCGAGTTTCTTTTAGACATTTTCCTTCAGTGGAGTGTGTGTGTGTGTGGGGGGGGGGGGGGGGGGTCAACAACACTGGTTAAAGAATATATTTTCTATATTTTCTATATAAACTATATATATAACATATATATTTTACATATTTGAATAGTTCGAGTGGGGTGGGGGGGGGGGGGGGAAGGTGTTAAGGCGAAAAGATGGCTGAAAGAAACTCTAGACTTGAGAATGTTGGTTTTACTATTTCAATATTAGATTAATTTGGCCTTGTTTCAAGAAATTGAAACCAACATATTGCTAAAATATTGCATTAATTAAACAATTAAACACTAACATATCTGCCTCTGAGAGGTATCTTTACAAAAACCAACATATCTCTGTCTCTGAAAGGTGTCTATACCGGAAGTGAATACCACGACACAGAGCTGCGCATGCGTGGATTTCTTGCCGAAGGTGTGGCTAACTCCTCGACCATTGTCGTTAAAACTCACGGAAGTGACGTCATCACTCGCGACAGATATGAAAAAGCTGTGCTCCTTATACGACACCCTAAGGGAGCCATAAAAGCTGAGTTTAACAGGATATACGGCGGAGGACACAAATCTACTGCTACACCGGATTTCTTCGAAAAATGTAGGTGAAACGACAACAAAGTTTTAGCACTCTGAATTGATTTGTGGGAGTTGGAAACAGTGTTTCTTCCACATTTTTTTCTCCGGGGAGAGGGGGGGGGGCGGTCAACATTTTCCGGGAGGGGGGGGGGGGGAAGGACAGACACTGGTAAAATTATATGTTCTCTATATAATTATAAATTCCATGTCGTTCGGAAGGGCGGAGCCCCCCCCCCCCTCTCCCGAAGAGATGCCTGGAAGAAACTATGGTTGGAACATTTTAAGCCGGGCTCGACGTTTTAGCTATTTATTTTCAAGTTACTATTTCTTTGTTTCCGGCTCTTATAAACTATACAGAGTATAGTGATTTCCCTTTGTCGCTATGGCTGTTAGTAAACTACTAGTGCTAAGTTAAGGATTAGTGTCAGTGCTATGATAATGCCTCGGCTTACGTTAGTGACAGTTGCGTAACTATGAAGGATGTCACCAGGTGCGGTAGCTGAATAAGTCAGCTTCCTCCTTTCTGAAATTTGAATTTTCGGTTTAGTATTACACATATCCTCTACTATTTTATTATTTTAACTGGATATAACATTGATTTGAGAGTTATTTTTTTTAAAACGTTTTTTTTTAAAATTTGTATTGTCGCATCCCCCCCCCCCCCCTCCACCCCCGTTGGTTCCATACAGACTGGCCAGAGTTTTATTCTGACCACCAGCGGGCGTGGGTTCGATTCCACGAAGACTGGCAGACATACAGGCGACCCCTGCTCGTCGTCTTGTACAGGGATCTCGTCCAACAGACCAGTGTTCAGTTGAGGGAAGTACTCACGTTTTTAAAGGTGATGTCTCTATTTGTGATCACGTTTTTATTAAAATTTAGTGTCAGAAAAAAAATGTCGGACGGTCAATAGGCCGATGCAGTGCTGTTCCCCTAAGTATATCAAAGACTTTTTGGTGGCACTATAGCCTTAAGCTTTCCAAGACTGGCTTGTGGTACTTATTTGTGCTGGTTGGGCCAGAGGCGTAGCGAGGGGGGTGACGACATATGTCCCCGGGCGCCGACCTTAGGGGGCGCCAAAATGGGTTGGAAAAACAAATTGAAAGTTTGAGGGGGGGGGGGGGGGTGTGCAAATCGAAAGTTTGTCCCTGGGCGCCGGGAAGGGTCGCTACGCCTCTGGGGTGGACTCAGGGTGTTCTTATGGCCTCTAGCTATACATTTTTGCATTTCGATTGAGCGCTGTACCTCGCATTTAGGGGGGGGGGGACCCAAATCGGAAAATGCAAATTTTTACTAAGTAAGCAATGTTTAATCCAATTTAAAATAACAGTCGGGGGGGGGGGGAGGGAGGGAGAATATACTTGATACTAACCAAATACATGGTAAATTGTGAAGTGGGGGGGGGGGGACGAAACCCTCTGTTAACAGTGGACACCCGACCTATTGACGCCACTGGACCCCCCTCAAGATTTCGATTTGCACCCCCCCTAAAACTTTGTTTTGCACCCCCCTCAACCTTTCAATTTATTTTTCCAACCCTTTTGGCGCCCTCTAAGGTCGGCGCCCGGACATATGTTCCCCCCCCCCCCCCCTCGCTACGCTACTGGACCTCTGTTAACATTTTGTTTGACAGGCTGACGTAGATGAGGAAAGACTGAACTGCGCTGTCGCATGCGGGAACGTTACGCGGCGACCGACGTCATCACAGCTTCCGGTTCACGTGACAGATAACAACCAATCAGTTGATGCGATATATCAGCACGTTATAAATATCTTTAAAAAATCTACGGAAGCCGGAAGCTGAATCTAGGAAACAAATTAAACTCATTGTAAAAAAATTGTTTGCATTATATATGGTTTACGTCCCATGTAGTTGCAAGATAGTTTGCCGGTATTACAATTGAAAGACCTTTACAAATATCGGCCACATTAAAATAATTTCATTAAGATTAGGCCTACATCTAGCTAAACAGAACAATACAACGGTCTTACGATTTGTATTAAATTTGACTTGTCTGCATCTAGGTTGCAGGTGTAGTAGAGTTCGACATATGAAAGGATAGTGTGGTCGGCACTTTCACTAACTTGAGTTGGGTACCCATCAGAGATGGGCGAACTTAGGGATGATCTACTGACTTGAACACAGATTTGAACTCGAGACTTTCGGGTTAGCAGTCTAGCGCTTTATCCCTCCCATATATTTATTTTTATCCGATGGCCTATTTTTCAAAGCTTTTTATCTTTATATAATTGTGTTTTTGGAGATATAGATCTACTTTTAAAGAGTAGATTATGTTGTTGAATATTATAAGCATAATACACATTTTTATTTGCTTAATAGACTGTGTTTCTATCAATACTTTGCTTAAGTCCACAACTTGATTAAAGATTATTTTCGTGTGGCAAGTAATTAATCCATGCCTGAATAAAAGATTATTGACATTGATCAGAGTTTCTTTCAGGCTTTTTTTCTCCATTTTGGTGGAGTGGGCATTTGAAACTTCATAAGACGGGGGTACTTGAACTTCTGAGGGTGGAAGGGGGGGGGAGTGAAGGAGGGTTGGACACTGCTGAAAGTATATTTCTATATAATTTTTATAATTTTTGCCTGGATAGTGGGTTGAAGGGGCTCCGGTAGCGGATGGTGTGGGCTGGGGCGGAGAGATGCCTGAAAGAAACACTGATAAACACATACATAATGTATTCAGCGATAAATCCACTACTGGGATCCCCACTGATGTAAAGCTAATGGACGTAGGCCTACATACTGAAAGCGTAATCAACATAATTAAAAATAACCATTGTCCAGGGACTGAAGCAATACTTGCATTCCATTTAAACCTACATCTAATTACCAAATAAACAACTCCCGAAAATACAACTTCAATTGCATTTGCTAAGAAGAACGTATGTCTCCTTATTCATCCTAATCCGTCTCTGTTAACATAAAAACAAAAGAAACATACCTGTTACTTCCCCCCCCCCCCCCCCCCCCCCCCCCGCCCCTCCCCATCCCATTTCCATTTTTCACATTGAAGAAAAAACATATTTTTAGAAGCACTTTTCCGTTTTCTATTAATAGCCACGTTCAGCCCCCATTTAGCTATCGCAGTTATTTAACTCAACGAAACAAAGCAAGTGTCCCTTGTAACTTGTATATTTTCACACGCCATTACGCGCAAGAGTTCTAAAAAGAAACGGACTGACGGAGAAAGCGCGCGACAAGGGTTATTTATGTTTTGACTGTGTTGCGCTCGGCAAGAGAAAAGGGACTTAACTCGTAGTGAAAGTTTCATAGATGTATCAAAAGTTGGTCTGGATTATTGAGGAAGGATATGGTTACGGTAGGAGAACATTTTTTTAAACAAATGTTGAATAGTGTTAATGTATTATTGATGCAGATTTTAAGGTAAAAGAGTAGACACATTTCGTAATAAAAACATTAAAAACATCTTCCTGTTGTTTTTTTTTTTTTACGCGTAAAATTTTTATGTTTTTAGCAAGTCGCTTTATAAAATGAGACTCAATAAAAAAATCGAGTTGTTAGATATTGTTACAACTGACGCTGTAAATTACATGTCTGAGGCTAAAAAAAAAGTTGTGATTTAAATTAGTCACATCAAGACTACAGAATTCTTTAAAAATAAATTTTACTAAAAATAATACTCCATAGCCAAAAAAAAAACAACAAAAAACACGGTATTTAGGTATGGCTTTCTCGTACGTATATAGCTTACTTAGGCATATGTAGGACGGTGTGTCTAGACTGCTAACCCGAAAGTCTCGAGTTCGAATCAGGGTTTAAGTAAGTACAACGTCACTGAGTCCACCCAGCTCCAATGGGTATCTTACTCACGTTAGGGAAAGTAAAGGCGGCTGGGCATAGTGCTGACCACACTATCTCTTCATATGCCGAGGTCACATAAACAGGTGAACTCTACTTCACTTGACCCATGGAACGATATGTTCGAAACGGGAACTTTAGGACATATTACAGACTAAAGGTCAAGAACCAAAGAGTTTCAGTATAGTTGTCGTTTCCTGTCTATCACTGAATCATATTATCCATTACCACAAGCCCGGACAGATAAAGCCCACACTTGAATATACAGATACAAATATAATCTCTTAAATTATCAAGTTAAACAATAATAATTATGGAATAATATTAAGATTTCAGTTGTTTAAGTAATGGAAATACGTTTTTAAAGCATTTATCCCAACAACTGTCTAGATGATACATTTATGTCTTCGATATGTTTTAAATGAATCACCCGGGTACTACACTAATTATCATTTGTTATTGTTTCGAAATTTTACGTTAGTTAAAACATTTTTAAAACTGACGTATAATTTGGACGCTAAAACTGCTATAAAACTATGTCTGACTTATGTATTGGACGTTAAAACTGCTATAAAACTATGTCTGACGTATGTTTTGGACGTTAAAACTGCTATAAAAACTATGTATGACGTATATTTTGGACGTTAAACTGCTATAAAAATATGTATGACGTATATTTTGGTCTACTATAGCTGAGTTGTGACGCTGGATGTGGTGTCTAGAATGTGCTGGCTATCTCTGGTAACCCTGGCAACGCTGCTACACATCGGCTGGACGCTGACCAATTCGGACAATGAGGTGTACACAGGTAGAGGAGATTTCACACACGGGGGGGGGGGGGGGGGCACAGGTAGAGGAGATTTCACACACGGGGTGGGGGGTCACAGGTAGAGGAGATTTCACACACGGGTGGGGGGCACAAGTAGAGGAGATTTCACACACGGGTGGGGGGCACAAGTAGAGGAGATTTCACACACGGGTGGGGGGCACAAGTAGAGGAGATTTCACACACGGGTGGGGGGCACAAGTAGAGGAGATTTCACACACGGGGTGGGGGGGGGGGGGCAGAGGTAGATGAGATTTAACACACGGGGTGGGAAGGGGTCTGAGTTTCTTTCAGGCATATCATCGGGGGGGGGGGGGGGGGGCACTGTCCTAATGAAGCACGTCTACCGTCCTCCAAACGAAACAATTTATTTTATATAGAAAATATATACTTTTACATGTGTCACCTGTGTCAGCCCCCCCCTCCCCTACTAAAAATTTAGTCCCCCCCCACCCCCTCCAATGTTTCAAGTGCCCCCCCCCCCCCTGATGAAAAATAAACCGGGAGTGATCTCCCCTAAACTTTCTCGAATATTCTTATATAACTTGAATGTAGACATGATTTTTAATTACTTAAACTTTTAAAAATAGAATAGAATCTCATAGAAAAAAGAATTGCGCACCAAGCGAACGCAAAAACAAAATGCATAATAGTGCGCAATATTATTAGTACTTTATAAATTTACATGCGTTTTTTTGAGAAATCGGAAATAGCGTAAATTAGTACTTCCGGTCAACGGAAAGTACTCAAAATTTGACACAAGGTAGAGAATTAGATCTTTTACTTAAATGTGAAATTTCATTTATCTATCTGAAATAGTACTCAAGTTATAGGCTTTTGGAAAATTCAAAGTAGAAAAAGTACCACTTCCGGTTATCGGAAATCGCTCAAAAGTTGATACGGATCTACGATTTTGATAAAATACTTATATATGAAATTTCATCAACCTAGCTGTAACGGTACTCAAGTAATCGTGTTTACACACAGACAGACAGACAGACACACACACACACACACACACAGACACACAGACACACAGACATACGGCAAGATTGCAAAATTATGTTTTTCCGTATCAGTGAGATGTAAAACGTCGAGATTTGTAAAAATCTCGATTTTTTTTTTGCACGATTACAAGACTTTCTCTATACTTCGTATATACGAGAAAGTAAAAAGTCTGAAAGAAACACTGGTGAACACTGGGGATGAGATTAAACATGGGGGAGTGTGGGGTAATTATTATATGGAATGCAAGATTTAACAATTTGTGGGGTGGGGTAATTAGAATATGGAAAACAATATTAAACATGGGGGGGGGGGGGGGGGTAATTAGCATATGGAATGCAAGATTTAACACTTTTGGAAGTGGGGTAATTAGAATATGGAAAACAATATTTTACATAGGGGGAGGGGTGTAATTAGCATATGGAATGCAAGATTTAACAATTTGGGAGGTGGGTTAATTATGGAAAACAGCATTTCACACAGAAAAAAAGCTAATTTTTACCATGGAATAGCAAAGGGGATTTGTAGTGATGTATGAAAGGAGATTTCACTTGAAATGTGGATACACATAATATATGTTTGT